TTGAAGGTGTGGCTGAGCTTGACATCGAAGGAAGGACCATCCTTCGGGTGGACGCGGAGAGTCATGGGCTTGCCAACCTCGAGCTCAGTGCAGAGGAGGTCAACCTTGTCATCGGGCTTGATCTTGTCGTAGTCGGCGGGGTCGGAGAAGGTCAAGGGAAGCATACCCTGCTTCTTGAGGTTGGTCTCGTGGATACGGGCGAAGGAGCGGGTGATGATGGCAAGACCACCAAGGTGGCGGGGCTCCAGAGCGGCGTGCTCACGGGAGGAACCCTCACCGTAGTTCCAGTCACCAATGACGACCCACTTAACACCACGGGCCTTGTAGTCACGGGCAGTGGCGGGAACGGCATCGTATTCACCGGTGAAGGCGTTCTTGATCTTGTTGGCCTCACCGTTCTCGGCGTTGATGGCACCAATCAACATGTTGTTGGAGATGTTGTCAAGGTGTCCACGGTACTTCAACCATGGGCCAGCCATGGAGATGTGGTCGGTGGTGGTCTTACCCTGGCACTTGATCAGGATAGGGATACCGGTGGCATCCTTGCCATCCCACTTCTCGAAGCCAGCAAGGAGCTGGAGACGGTCACTCTCGGGGGAGACAGCGACGGCAACAGACTCACGGTCCTTGGGAGGAGCCTGGTAGGTGTCACGGCCGGGGTCGTAGCCCTGGGCGGGGAGACCCTCGCCGGAGGGAGCCTTGAGCAAGAACTCGTTACCGTCCTTGTCCTTGAGCTTGTCGGTGAGAGGGTTGAACTTGAGGGTACCGGCAACGGTCATGGCAACGACAAGGTCGGGAGAGGCAACGAAGGCGTGGGTGGCGGGGTTGGCATCGTTACGACCAGTGAAGTTACGGTTGTAGGAAGAGATGATGGAGTTGGCCTCGCCCTTCTTGATGTCGCGACGATCCCACTGACCAATGCAGGGACCGCAAGCGTTGGCAAGGATGACACCACCGTACTCCTCAAGAGTCTGGAGCTGACCGTCACGCTCAATGGTGGCACGGATCTGCTCGGAACCAGGAGTGATGGTGAAGATAGACTTAGACTTCAAGCCGTGGTCGAGAGCGTCGCGGGCGATGGAGGCGGCACGGGACATATCCTCGTAGGAAGAGTTGGTGCAAGAGCCGATAAGACCGACCTTGAGCTCCTCGGGCCACTTGTTGGTCTCAACAGCCTCCTTGAACTTGGAGATGGGGGTAGCCAAGTCAGGGGTGAAGGGACCGTTGACGTGGGGCTCGAGCTCGGACAGGTTGATCTCAATCAGCTGGTCGTACTCAGCACCCTCATCCTCGCGGAGCTCCTTAGCGTAGCTTCTGGCGAAGTCGCCGATCTGCGTACGCTTGGTGGCCTTCAAGTAGTCGTACATGCGGTCGTTGAAGGGGAAGAGAGAGGTGGTGGCACCGATTTCAGCACCCATGTTACAGATGGTGGCCATACCAGTGCAGGACAGGGAGTTGACACCAGGACCGTGGTACTCAATGATAGCACCAGTACCACCCTTGACAGTGAGGAGACCGGCGACCTTGAGGATGATATCTGTACGAACCGATGAGCTAATAGTCCAAAACATTTAGAATTGACATGCAAATACTTACCCTTGGGGGTAGTCCAGCCAGACATCTCACCGGTCAGCTTAACACCGATGACCTTGGGGGCCTTCAGCTCCCAAGGAAGACCAGCCATGACATCGACAGCATCAGCACCACCGACACCAATGGCAGCAATAGCAAGACCACCAGCGTTAGGAGTGTGAGAGTCGGTACCGATCATCAGACCACCGGGGAAGGCATAGTTCTCAAGGACGATCTGGTGAATGATACCGGAACCGGGCTTCCAGAAACCAATGTTGTACTTGGCGGTGGAGGAGGCCAAGAAGTCGTAGACTTCCTTGTTGATCTCGTTGGCGCGGGCAAGGTCCTTGTCACCGCCAAGCTGAGCCTCAATCAAGTGGTCACAGTGGACAGTGGTGGGGGTAGCGACGGAGGGCATGCCAGCGGACATGAACTGAAGGATGGCCATCTGGGCGGTGGCATCCTGGCAAGCAACACGGTCGGGGCGCAGCTTGAGGTAGGAGGTACCACGCTCGATGTCCTGACCGTGCGGGTCGTCAAGGTGAGAGTACAGAACCTTCTCGGCGTAGGTAAGAGGACGGCTCAAGCGACGACGAACAATGTCGAGGTTCTCGGACATCTTCCTGTACAAATGAAAAATAAGACATTAGCACGCGATTCCATCGATACGAATGCTTGTTGCATCTTGAGTTGATGAAGGCTGCTATGGTGTTTGCGTACTTGTAGTTGATGTAGTTACCCTGCGAAGCGCCTATTAGCAAATTGTGTTCCAAACCCGGTATTCGCATACCCGAAGCCAGCCGAGGGCACGGGAAGCTTTCATTGAGGGATGTCCACCACTCACCTTCTCGAGGTTGGTCATCTCGACCTTCTTGTCGAGGGGAGAGTCGCTGACGGTAGCCAGACCCCGGGTCCCGAGGAACTGAGACAATTCATAATTAGTATTCCAAAGCTTCCTGGATTTTCACCCCGTCCCAGAACTATCGCAGTTGTGGGATCTTCAAGGTTGAAGGAAGGCTCGAAGGCTTACAAGACGGGACTTAGGGGCCTATAAACAATTCAGTTAGTATTCCGTGAGCCCAAGGAGACATCAGCTGGCAGCCATCGCCTCTCATTCTTGAGAGAGGATGCCTGTCTGCCTCGCTGAATAAGGAGTACGTGTCCAGGTAGAACTTACCAGCGCACCCATGCGCGCAAGCCTTGTGGAGATCATGATGGAAGCTCTCTATGCGAGGTGGGCAAGGCCGCAACACATCCAAGGAGAGACAACCCAAAAAGGTGTGATAGAGTGGAGTGGGAAAGAGAGAAAGAGGAGAAGAAGAGGAAGAAGTAAGAGAGAAGGGAAAATGGAGTAGATAAAAGGAAGCTCTCTGAGTGGGAAAGAATTCTTGTTTCCGCCAGACAGCGGTTTACTAAACCGGAGAAGAGGGCCAGCGCCGTGACCCGTAACCGCTCCTTGACAGTACGAGTCCCGTACGCATTCGTAGCGTGCGACCGGAGAGATGGAAGTGGCTGGTTGTATCCCCTTCTTACCGTCAGCATACGGTAATTTTGGTGAAATTCCGGTCGACCTTTTCAGACTTGCAGACCTCCCTTTCGCCTCAAGGACCCATAATGTACTTCTTTGCCTTTACCCGGCCAACCGCAGGCTGCCCGTCGATTCGAAAACGCTTCACTGTCAGTGGTCTTTGCTCCTGGAGGCGTAATCGGACTGTCAAATCCGTGATTTGAGGATGCGCGGAAATCCACCCCCATGTTCCTCCACGACCCTTCATTGAGTTGCTATTCTACCTTGTACGTTGGCTACTAACACTGGCTGGCTACCTTAACTATTTCGGTCCTGGTTCCGGGGGAGCCGTCATTGAAATGTTTCTGACAGTACAAGATTGTAATGCTGATTACTTACCTAGTACCGGCCACCAGCGCTCGTGCACAGGGCATGTGAGAGGCAGCGGTGACCCAATCATGTGTGTCGGATTATATGCTACATCAAAGGACATTCTTTCGACGTCACCCTGTTGCAATGTCTTCTAGTAGAATTGATGTCTTCACTCGCCATTAAGGAGGGTATAAAATATTTTGCTATGATTGCAAAAGTACAGGAATTGCCCAGACACCATTCAAAATTACCGCACCGTCTTTTCCATCGGTGTCTTTCTTGTTGCTGAGGGGACCTGTAACTTGAAGTGGGCGCAAGAAGCCATTATTGGGTCGGTGTATTATTTCACCTGAACCACCAGTGGACGACTGCTGTTTCCATCCGGCGGCAACATGCCGAACGCATAGCAACGTCATAAATTACGGAAACCACGGGGAAATGGCCGTACGAACAGCTCGCTGCTGACAGAGAGCCGAGCGTGAGCCGAGGCCTGCCGATGGGAGTCCCGCGGGCCGCCGCCAAGATCCTTGCCCCCTACGCCCAATCAAGTGCGAGACGTTTGAGGAATTTCTTCTCTCACGCACAAAGGCGGAAATTTCAAGGGCAGCGACCCGCTCCAAGGTTTTAGTTTCGCTCCGTTTATCGGTACTATCTGCCTCTACCACGATCACTGGAGAGCATCCCGTCAGGCTAGGTACTCCATACTATCGCTATTTTGGGGCTCCGTCGTGATATCAAAAATAAAAAATAATGGGTGCTGTCAGGAAAATCAAGACCAAGCGCAGGACTAGGTAAGGATACTTCTTCTTGATACTCCCGCATGCGTTGCGCATAGGTGCATGGCTAACCTGCCTCTTCATTGTCTAGAGACTACGATCAAGTCCGCGCTGATATCCAGTCGTCTAAGCATCTCACACAGTACAAAGCTACCAAAGATCCGGAGGACCTGCCCGGCTTAGGACAACACTATTGTGTCGAATGCTCCAAATGGTTTGAAAGCGAGTTCAACCTGGTCGGCCATAAGAAGGGCAAGAACCACAAGAGAAGGTTAGTTGATGGTCTAATATGCTCCGCGCGATTACCCCGGATTTGCGATGCGAGTGACAACTCTATCGCCTCAATGCTCGTCTTCTTGTGCTAATTCAACTGGTCCAAATAGACTACGCATCATCCGCGAAGAAGCTCATTCGCAAAAAGCTGCGGAGGCCGCAGTTGGCCTGGGTACCGACAATGGCGTGAGAGCGCAGGAAGAGACCGTGATGGCCATGGAAGATTAAAAATCTACAAATGATTCTACACAAGCAATCAGCCTCGCTCCAAAATCGCCAACGTGAAGCAGAGCGGGTTGGACTTGCATGCAAACGACCCTTTCGGTACTGCGACAGACCTTTCATGGGCTCGAAAATTTTTTACCGCATCAATGCAAATTTGCAGCCGTTGTCGTTGTCACCAAAGTGATATGATTGGCTGTTTGCGGACGAAGCTTGTCGCCCGACGCGTGATTCGCCCAATCTCACACTAAGCACGTGATAACATCAGGTGCCGAAAATCGCCAGTTCTGCGCCGAACGCACTGCTTCCGTCTTGCGGTGACCCCTTGCAAACTGCCGGTTCTCGGAGTGTCGCACAGTTAGGTCCCCACTCGGATCGGATCCGACTCCTCTTGGGCAAGAATAATTTACAAGCTGCAATTTTAATTACAGAACGTGGGGGATCGATCGAGCTGTCCCGTTCCTCCTTAGTCGAGCTTCTTGTATAAGTTCAGGCTTCTTGTAGATATCTCATAAGCCATTCGTAAGTCGCCCACTAAAGTACAGATTGTCAGTGCTGTCCAATCTGCCGTTTGCGACAATCTCACATACCTGAACCGCATTCACGATGAATGCCCTAAAGCTACACACCCCGAGGCCGCGGTAAAAGGCCTTCAGACCTTCAGTCTGATAGACCTCTCTGGCAACCTTAATTGAGCTTGCATCGCGTGTGTGTATGCGAGACGGTAGAAGAGGGCGATCTTGAGATGTTTCAATTGTCCCAGCCTGCAGCCTTGTCTTGATCACGTCTAGAGGGAAGACCGACGTCCAGGTGACAACGCCAGCAATGCCGCCGCAGAGGAGGATCTTCAATGCAGCCAGATTCGTAGTATCGTCCTCGGAACTTATGAGACGCTTACAGTACTCGTAAGACCAGAAGCTGTGGCGGTGTGGGTGTAAGGTCAGTGTACGTCCTGTCAACGAGCCGCAGAGGGTAACGGCGGGGGGAAGATCCGGGGCAGGCAGATCGCATACTAAAACCCATAGCCAATGGCGTCTCTGGCGCAAGTGATTCCTCCTGCATAGTATAGGCCCCTCCAGCCTCGGGTACTAATAATATCTTTGGCAACGGTCCAGGAGGAGATCCCGGGCCGGGTGTCCAGTTGGGCTCGACATTTGATAAACTCTGTGGGAGACGATACAGTCCAGCTGGCTAGTCCACCTGCCGCACCTGCGAGCCACACTTTGTACAGAGACGTCCCTTGGGGTGAGGTTGGGTCTGTAATGGCTGTGTCCAGGGTCATCAATGACCGGTTGTAGGCCACGAAGAGCAGAGCGTTTAGGGCTCCATAACCCAGTATCGGAGCAGCGGAGCCTGTAATCAATGATTAGCATGGGTTCGCGGTTTCGTTCATACAGTAACAGGATTCATCGTGCTTACAGACCTCGCACCAGAGAAGTGACGCTCTCCAGGCGGCTCAATTGCTGGGTGGTTGATGATGCAACGACTTCTGCATGCTGTCCCGCCTGCAGTCGAACCTTGATAATGTCAAGCGGGTTGCCGATGATGATCCCAATAGCACCGCTCAAGTAGCCAGCCCAGAAGTCGGCGGACATATCATATGTGATACGATTGGAGGGATTCTGGCTTTCAGCAACGGTGAATCGTCGTAGTTGGTACACAATTGCAATGTCATCACTGACCAGAGAGCACTGACAGGCGGCGTGGATATATTATCTAAACCATCCCGCACTAAGAAGCGACCCGAAAGTTACTATACTCGATAGGTCCTTAGCACTAACAGGTCTTTGCGGGGTATTTTGCACTCGGGGTTTGGTTGAAAGTTGAAGCCTCGGAATAGACATATTCGAAGATAGGAGCCATGAGAAGAAGTAGCCGGAGTCAGAGACAGCCAGTGTCGCTACATTGCTCGCCAAGCTAGCGAGTTCAAAGGTGTCTGTCTGTGCAACACACCGCATTTTCACTTACATCGTTACAGAACAATATTTGTGCATATATTTCAAGTACTTGTACTGCTTCCATGCTGTTGTTTTAGGCATTATTGCGACGTATCACTGAAATATAGAACTTCGTTCTCAAGCCATAAACGAGGACGACGCTGCAAGGTTCACCGCAGCGGCCCAATGGGCAAAGTGAGAGCCACCATAGGTATTCCCTATCAGCTACTCCGTACCGAGCGCCGATATAACAATCTCATCTCATCGGAGCCATTGTAAATGGCTAGACAACTTATCAACTTCCGAAAACAATTTGATGCTGCCCGCAGCTTTAGTTTTACCTGAAGGGACTAGTGCAATTCTATGGACTAGCATGAATAGGTGATATTGAGTCCAACCAGTTGATGGGCGCCCGAGGCATCATAATCCGCGTAGCTCTTGAAAGAAATTTGGTAGCATTCTTCTCAACTGTGCCATTATAATTTGCCTCAAGTTCGCACGTTTACCAAAATCCGCAGCGGTCCATTGTTGACAGGATCATGTGACCACGCGATACTTTGGTGTCCAGCAATCTGTAGGCAAACGCGCTAAGATGTGGCGAGCGCGTCCTACTGACTCGGCGAAACAACAACCGCCACCAGCGACCAAGCGACAGTTAGAGGGCCTCAAACACAGGTTGATACGTATCATCCATGTAAGGTCTCTTTATATGCCATCCCGCAACTCTTCTAATATCCATAGGTATCGCCCACGACCCGTCCTTAAAGAGAATGCCACGAGCACGCCGGCGAAGCTCCAACCCGGCACTCCCGGGAGCTCCATCGACCGGCTCTCAAGACCCTTCAAATGCCCTGGATCGGCCACCCCTACACGCACATCAGAGAAGCCCGCGAGGAAGAGACGGAAAGTGAACTATGCCGGGGCCGACGGAGAAGGCAATGATGAGGGTGAGAAGCCGTACACAAACGAGGACCGTCTCGCGCTCGCCACCCGGGACGTGAATAGGTTTCCCGTCTTCAAACCGAAGGACAAGGACACAGCATTCCGACAGAGATTCAAGGTGCCTCTCATCAACAAACAGGTTGACAGTTTTGGTGCCCGACCAGCCCCGACGCTGGGGATGAGGCAAGGCGCTACGTTCGTTGTGAAACCGTTGCATGACCCAAGTGGCGAGTTCGCGATAGTGCTCTACGACCCGACTGTTGACGATGTCGAAGAAGCAGAGGCCAAGAAAGAACCGCAAGGCGATGCAGAGGGTGAGAAGCCTCAACTGGACGAACCGCTGGTACACAAGAGCTTGGCAGATATTCTCGGACTCAAGAAGAAGGTCGAAGACAGACCTAAGGTCCCTGTTGTCATCGATCCACGGCTGGCGAAGGTTCTCCGGCCGCATCAGGTGGAAGGTGTTAAGGTGAGTGTCGGTCTTGTTGAGAGATGGGCTGCTTTCTTTTACTAAGATGAACTCTTACCTAGTTCCTTTATCGCTGTACAACCGGCATGGTAGACAAGAACGCGAATGGGTGCATTATGGCTGATGGCATGGGCTTGGGGAAAACAGTATGATAATCGCCTACAATTCAATTCCATCTACTAATAATAGCAGCTGCAATGCATCTCATTGATGTGGACATTGCTCAAGCAATCCCCGGAGGCCGGGAAGACGACCATACAAAAGTGCATCATCGCGTGTCCATCCAGTTTGGTCGGAAACTGGGCCAATGAGCTTGGTAAATTACAAGTAATGATTTAAAAAACACTTAAACTGATGATATTTGCAGGGAAATGGCTTGGCAAGGATGCAACCACTCCATTCGCAGTCGACGGCAAGGCCTCAAAGACGGAGCTCATTGCTCAAATGAAACAATGGGCCATCGCGTCCGGACGATCGGTCGTGAGACCATGTCTGATCATTTCTTACGAGACCCTGCGCTTGTATGTCGATACACTGAAGGACACCCCGATCGGATTACTACTATGCGACGAAGGCCACCGACTGAAAAACAAAGAGAGTTTGACCTGGACTGCGCTCAACAGCTTGAATGTACAACGCCGGGTGATCCTGTCTGGTACCCCAATCCAGAACGATCTGTCGGAGTACTTCTCACTTCTCCATTTCGCGAATCCGAACCTGCTGGGATCGCAGAACGACTTCAGAAAGAGGTTCGAGTTGCCAATTCTTCGAGGAAGAGATGCCGCGGGCTCAGAAGAAGATCGAAAGAAAGGAGATGAGCGGCTGGCTGAGCTTTCAGGCATTGTGAACAAATTCATCATTCGCCGAACGAACGAGCTGCTGTCGAAGTATTTGCCGGTCAAGTACGAGCATGTCGTATTCTGCAACATGTCCCAATTTCAACTCGACCTCTACAATCACTTCATTGAAAGTCCAGAGATCAAGAGCTTGCTCAGGGGTAAAGGGAGTCAACCGTTGAAAGCTATTGGACTCTTGAAGAAGCTCTGCAACCATCCTGATCTCCTCAATCTATCCACAGACCTTCCAGGCTGTGAACACGCATTTCCGGATGACTATGTTCCTCCCGAAGGACGAGGGCGCGATAGGGATATCAAATCGTGGTATTCCGGCAAGATGATGGTCTTGGACCGTATGTTGGCACGTATCCGCCAGGACACGAACGACAAGATTGTTTTGATTAGCAATTATACGCAGACATTGGATCTTTTCGAAAAGCTTTGCCGGTCACGGGGATATGGCTCCCTGCGATTGGACGGTACCATGACCGTGAATAAACGACAAAAGCTCGTCGACAAATTCAATAACCCCGATGGCGAGGAATTTGTGTTCCTTCTCAGCAGCAAAGCGGGTGGGTGTGGTTTGAACTTGATAGGTGCGAATCGACTAGTTCTGTTCGATCCCGACTGGAATCCGGCGGCCGACCAGCAAGCCCTAGCGCGTGTCTGGCGTGACGGTCAGAAGAAGGACTGCTTCGTCTACCGCTTCATCGCCACTGGCTCGATCGAAGAGAAGATATTCCAGCGTCAATCGCACAAACAATTACTTTCTTCGTGCGTGGTGGACTCCGCCGAGGACGTCGAGCGACACTTTTCTTTGGAGTCACTTCGCGAGCTGTTCCAATTCAAACCGGACACTAGAAGTGATACACATGATACCTTCAAGTGCAAGCGCTGTCGGCCCGATGGGACACAGTACATTAAAGCCGCTGCCATGCTGTACGGTGACACCAGTACTTGGAACCATTTTGTGAACGACGGAGAGACAGGCCACCTCAGCAAGATCCAGGACTTGCTGATCCGACAGGAGACTGGGGAAAGAGATGTCTCTGCGGTTTTCCAGTATATCAGTCATTGAGTCATTGATAGATAGCGAGCACGATTTTATCTTGTCATGTCTTAGCGTGCATTAAACGAGCCTCTCAAATAGATGATTTAATCCCATTACACTAATGTATCAGAAGCATGGTTTCCATTATTGTAAGTGGGATTAAGCAGTGGTTATATTGGGCAAGGATGAAAACACACTGTAGTTAGTTATTGATTAGGCGGTAAGGAGTCGGCGGTGCCGAGTGCTGACACTACGTCACATCGCATCCGCTAACTAACTTGAGTTATCCACGCTGTGCCAACGCATCTTCTTGTGAGAGCTCCCCACATTGTTATTGACATCGTGCCTACTGCCGAGCGACAAGGCTAATTATCGGTATAAGCAAAGGGACCGCGAGGGGCGACTTGAACTTTCCTCAACAAGGAAGAAGCCGTGCCAACTTGCGACTGATGGCTTGGGAAGAATAAGTTAGTTGGCTTGCTAGTTAACGTTAACCTACTTTACATACTAGTTCATTTACAGCTCCTTCCTGGCGAGTCACCACCGCCTCACCGCCCAGCCTAGCCAGAACGACGCTTGCACACCATGAAAACCATCTAAAACCGGCCCCCGGAGCTTAATCAGTCGTTCGATTTTATGGGAATCGGAGCGATGGATCACTCAATCCAACGTTCGCTGAACGATAAGCTCTATGACCGGAGGAAACAGGGAGCCTTGGAGTATGGATACTTTTTTTTTATCGATAAGAGAGGCCAGATTAGTCGCAATCAACACGGGTAGTCAAGACTAACTCATGCGATTTCTCCTACCAGGCTCGAGAAGGTCGTTCGCGAAGCCGCTTTCAGGGGGGAGCACGAGGAGATTCGGAAGATCGTCGACCAGCTCTGTCACGATTATGCCTACGCCGTGCATCAGCCTCATGCCAGAAATGGCGGCTTGATAGGCCTCGCTGCCGCTTCGATAGCGTTGGGATCCGTGAGTCCTACCCCCCCTCCCCCCCCGGCAATGTATACTCGATGTCCGCGGTATAGGTACTGAACTATTGGATTACTATATAGGAAGGTGTTGCACCGTACTTGAAGGAGATCGTACCGCCGGTGCTTGCATGCTTTTCCGACCAAGATGCGCGCGTTCGGTACTATGCTTGCGAGAGCATGTACAACATTGCCAAGGTTGCGAAAGGGGAGATCCTACTCTTCTTCAACGAGATCTTCGATGCGTTGAGCAAGGTGAGTGCTCGTTGTCGATGGGGTTGGGTTTTCTGCCTGCTTACTATTGCCCGTCTCGAATTATAGCTCGCTTCCGACTCCGAATTGTCGGTCAAAAACGGCGCGGAACTCCTCGACCGACTTGTCAAGGATATCGTTTCCGAATCGGCGGCCTCTCACGTCTCAGTGCTGCAGCTTACGGAGAAGCAGCAGGCCGATCCGGAGTCATTGGAGGATGTGGATCTACCGACTGCGTTCTCGCTCCCGAAATTCATCCCCTTGCTTAAAGACCGGATCCACGTCACAAGTCCCTTCACCAGAACATTTCTGGTTTCGTGGCTCACGCTCCTGGACACGATACCCGACCTAGAGCTCATCTCGTTTCTGCCGGACTTCCTCGGAGGGTTGATCAAGTTCCTCGGGGATCCGAATAGAGATGTCAATGTCGCGACTCAGGCGCTTCTGGATCGGTTTCTATCGGAGATCAAGAGGATCGCTCGGCTCAAGAAGGGAATCGAGGAAAGCCGCAAAGACCAAGGAAGCGATACTAGACAGTCCACAACGAGTGACGGTCTTAGCGTGACGACGACGACCGATCAGACTCTAGCCGTCGAGTCGGAGACAAATGATCACGCGATAGAAGATTCCGAAATAGATTCCGTGACTGATGAAGATGGATTCAACGCAGACGGGGATTGGATTCCTGGCCAAGACGTCCAGATCGACTATGCAAGGATATTGGAGATTCTCGTGGGATATGTTGACACTTCATTCGGTGAGCTATCATTCACTTGTTCTAGTACCTGGTGGAACGGACACTTACGCGCATCATAATTCGCTAGTGGAAGAAATGCAGTTGACGGCTTTGCGTTGGATCGACAATTTCTTCGAGATCAGTCCCGAAGACATCTTGCCCTTTGTGCCTCGCCTGCTGACCCAAGTACTCCCGGCGATGTCCAGCGGCTCGGACCAAGTGCGGCAGGCCGCCAACCGAGTGAATACATCTCTGCTGGAATACATCGTCACATTGTCCGAAGACACGTCGGAGGAGACCTCCCGACAAGGGCCAGTGACCAAGCCCAGTAACACGAATAGCAAAGACGTGGTCGTCGAACGAAGGTCGTCCACACCAGGCAGCAGACCTTCCGAAGGCACGTCGAACGAGACGAAAAAGCAGGCCTCACCGCCACAAGAGGTGTCGACCGAGCCGACCCCCAGGAGCAGCATCATCTCAACATCCGTGCCGCCCGCCGATCTCGACTACGCTGCGGCGGTCAACTCTCTGACGCTGCAGTTCCTGAACGAGAACGAGACCACCCGTGTCGCGGCCCTGTCCTGGCTGATCATGCTCCACCGCAAGGCGCCGAAGAAGGTGATCGCGTTCAACGATGGCACGTTCCCGGCCTTGCTCAAGACGCTGTCCGATCCCGCGGAGGTGGTGGTGACCAAGGATCTGCAGCTCCTCTCGCAAATCTCCAGGAACAGCGAGGACAGCTACTTCAAGTCATTCATGGTGAACCTGCTGCAGCTCTTCTCCACGGATAGGAGTCTGCTAGAGGTGCGCGGGAACCTCATCATCCGGCAGCTGTGCATGAACCTCAGCCCCGAGCGCATCTACAGGACTCTCGCGGACTGTCTCGAGAAAGAGGAGGTGAGAATTACCACCACCACATTAAAGGACCATCACGACTGAACCCCCCTCACTGACCCCATCCATTAAATAAACAACAGGACCTCGAGTTCGCGAGCATCATGGTACAGAATCTCAACAACAACCTCATCACAGCCCCCGAGCTCTCGGAACTCCGGAAGCGCCTGAGGAACCTCGACAACAAGGTAGGATATACCGGCCGCACGTATTCCAAGAAACTGACCCAATGTCAGGACGGCCAGGCTTTCTTCGTCGCTCTATTCAGGTCCTGGTGTCACAACGCGGTCTCGACATTCTCGCTCTGTCTGCTCGCCCAAGCCTACGAGCAAGCATACAATCTCCTCCAAGTATTGTACGACCATCTTCCCTCGAACACCAGCGTTGATAGTCACTAACAAATATCCTGAAACAGCGCCGAGCTCGAAATGACCGTCAACATGTTAATCCAAATCGACAAGCTAGTCCAGCTGCTCGAATCCCCCGTCTTCACCTGTCAGTTCTCCCGTTGGCCCCCAGCTCCCTCAAAGCTCACCACTCCTAACAACAACAGACCTACGTCTCCAACTCCTCGAACCAGAACGATACCCCTACCTCTACAAATGCCTCTACGGAGTCCTAATGCTCCTCCCGCAAAGCTCCGCCTTCGCCGCCTTAAAAAACCGTCTCAACAGCGTCAGCAGCATCGGACTCCTCCACACCGGTCCCCGACAGTAAGTCCCACCCCCCAAAGCATCATCATCTCAATCTCTAACACCGGATGGAAAATCCCAGAAACGCGCTCCCCTCCTCCCTAACCACAAACTCCACCTCCACCTACGACCGCCCCACCGGCAGCAGCCGCCTCAAACGCGAAGACTCCTCCAGCTCAACCTACACCACCACCTCCGCGGCAGCAGCCGCAGCCGCAGGAACCTCATCATCATTATCGTCCTCAAGCACCTCCTCGATCCGGTGGGTCGAACTCCTCGACAAATTCAAATCTGTCCAGGAGAAGGCCCGTCGCGCCCAGCGCGCCTCGCAGCGACCCCTCGACCAGGACGCCGGCGGGCCCTTCGGGGTGGCGGCCGGTGACGGAGCAGGAGGACTTATACTCACACGACACCCCGGCGCAGGCGTAGATCTAGTCCACCGCGGGGGCCGCGACCGGAGTACCATCGCCGCCATGTTGCCAGATGTGCCGAGGGGAGGCACGGCGGGCCTGGGAGCCGGAACCGGTGGGGACGGGGCGCGCGCCGGCGGTGGGCCCGATTCCGGTGGGAATGGTGGTGCTGGTGCTGGTGCTGGTGCTGGTGGTTCGGCAGGTGCAGGTGGTGCAGGTTCTGGGCCGGGCGCTGCGGCTGCAGCAGCTGGGGGCGGCGCGGCCGGTCGAGCCGCGGCCGGGGCCGGGCACAGACATAAAACCAGTCTACCGAACCTGGGTCGCTTGGGGATTGGGGGTCGCAAGTCGAAACGGTGATCGTTTCGGCTATTCTTGTATTTCTGGGGCTCGGGGGAAGACTGGGGGTTCCTTGTTTTTTTTCTTTTTGTTTCTGTTTTTGTTTGTTTTGCATTTCGGGAAGTCGTCAAGAGAGCGGGCAATGAGGGCCCGTTTCGATCTTTAGATGGAGATGAAAGTTGGGGAGGTCGGTGAATGATGAACAACAAGGAAGAGGTGGAGCGCGGTGTCTTGAACCTGCCTATCCCGAGATTACCCAGGATATATGCCTAGATGTGAAGCTGTCATTGGCCTGCATCCCGCCATGCTTCGCACTGATGCGCGGGAGCTTGCCAAGATGAATATGATATCATTAGACCATCGCAATCCGACTTCGAGACTTACTATACCTTTCTTTGACTCCTCCACGTGACTGATGGCAAACATGTAAGTCAGATGCTAGTGGTAAATGTATATTCGGGGTAGACCGTGTAATGTATGTACAGTAAGGGTAGCTAGATGCGCCGTCGAGGTCACCGACGACTCGCTAATGGGCTCGAGTAAAATATGGACAGATAGAAAGTGCAACATCGCTTGAGCGATCACAACTCCGAAGCAGAAACAAGACAGCGGTGGCTAGAATCAACGGAGCATAGTCAATGGTCGAAACAGATCATGCATGAAAGGCGTCAGCAAGATGGTGGCATATGACTTCCAGAAAATAGCCACGAGGAGATGCAGAGTGTTAAAAGGCCAATTGAACCGGCAGATGGGAAGTCCCTGTATGACCCGTGGACCAAACTTCAACTGCGCGGGAGCGAGATAAGCCAGCGCACGCGGTGCGATTCTTTGTGGATAGATGAATCGAACCAATCTCGCTCCCCATCGCATCATGGGCGAGACATCCGAGGCAAGCTTCAAAGGTAAGAAAAACCATGGACTTTTTCTCCCGCTTGGGTGCTGGACCCGACGAATGGAATGAAGAAGCAAAGAAGGACAAGTCGTCATATCCTTGACACGAGACGTTATGTCGAGGATCAATGTTCGAACAAAATGGGATTGAGGCAGAGCGTTAAATCGGGTCGGGTTTGATGCCGGAATCACCGCCAGCGCGAATCCCCGGATGATCCCCATGTTGGGGGCTTCCAGTAGCCTCCCGTGGATTGTTTGGAGACAGTGCCGGTGGAGGAGTTCGATCCGCTGGAGTAATGGTATTCGCCGTCGACATACTGCACGCCCGAGAAGGTGCTCCGGTGCTTGCGACGAGCATAACGCTGCTCTAGACGGTAAAGCTCCAGCTCTGTGAAGTCATTCTGTTAGCATGGGGCTGCTTTTGCGGGGGTAGCGATCGGGTCCGGGGGTGGTTAGGGGCATGCACTGCCGCGCAAGAGTTGATGAGAAACGTACTTGCTTGCAACTTCTCAATAAAGCCCATTTTGTGTGTTTTTGTTTGTGTAGTTGTGTTGGAGTGGTTCGGCTAGTTCGGAATCGGGCCGGTAACGTTTGGGGGCGAAGGGAGGAGGATTGTATGAATTCTAATGAAGGGACCAAGTTGCAGTTGAGCGAGCGATATATCTGAGTGAGCCTTGAGCTGCACCTGCACGAGAAGGAGGGAAGGCTGGTTTATGCAGTGGTGCGGTAGGCGGGAAGGGGGGGGGGGGGGAAAAGGGAAAAGGGGGGGGGGGGGGAAGGGGGGGGGGGGGTAAAAGGTAAATGGTGGATGGTGGGAAAGGGAGCTAGATGCAAGTCGAAGCAAGCAAAGTAGCCGAGTGCAAGTGCGATTGGAGGGTTAATAGCTTTAGTGGCTCAGTTGGTGGGAGTTGGTGGGAGTTTAGTAGGGAGACGCGGTGGCTCGGAAGATTGGCACCCAAGGAGAGACTCTGCTCCGGAACTAAAGCGGAATTGATAAGACTAGTTTAGGTTGAGACTCGAGGGAATTATTGGCAACACTATAGGACTAAGGACTAGAAAGAACGGAAGAGGAACCGAAAGGAAATAAGCAGAGAACGAACGTGGGGTTGGGAGGGAAGAAGAGGGGGAAAGAGAATATGACGAGTCCACGAGGGGAAGAAGAATGAAGAAGAAGAGAAGAAGAAGAAGCGGAAGTGAAAGAGAGCGAGTCTGGACGGGACAAAGTGAGGGAGTGTCGGCAGAGTGACGGACAAGGAAGGGAAGCAACTGGACTGCAACTGCAACTGCAACTGCAACTGCAACAACGTGGGTTGTGGGTTGGGTCTAACCATAGTGGGGTTAGCCAGGGGTTGAACTGGGTTTAGTTCTTGGTCAGTTGGCAAAAGCCGCAAACCTCATGGCAAAATCTAACACACAGTCTTCCTCATGGCCCGTGTTGCCTCTTCAACCCCTGACTAGTAGATTACTAGAAACACTAGCCAGCACTATTACCTATGAGTATTACACCAACACGACACAACAACTCAAATCACTCTCGCTACAATGCCACAATTGCTGGAACACCAACCAGCAAGGTTTGAACCTATTCGCATAGTCACCCTTGGCAGTTGACCTAGTATCCCAGCGCCCCATCTTCTCGATCTTCGAGAAAACTCCTTTCCTTTCTGCATGCTTGTTTTTTGATTCTTTGCGGAGGATAAACGTGCTGGACCGTCCCTCCTTAACTAGCGTTGCCTCTTTCCGGGTTGACACCTGCAGTTCCATGGACGGAAACGGTCGGATCGGCAGGTGATTCTTCGACATGCTTTTTCAACAACGGACAATAGTTTGGTTGGTAGTTATTGCTGCATACCTACGGAGTAGTAGTTCAACTACTGCTGCCAGACACGCGACCAGAACGAGACGAGAAGATTTACCTCATGTGTATCCCACCCCAGAACGAGACTGGCGTACCCAGCCAAGTGGTGTCATCCATGGTCGACTTTCAATAGCCGTGCCTAACGCTCTCATCTCCAACACTAAAAGCCCTGACCCAAACTTACGAAATGCTGGAGCTCCATCGGAACCCCCGCCGGTGGTTTGGCTTAGATAGAGAGGGGAAGGCTGGCACCATTTTAGTTGATCATAAACTCATTCTGATTTTCAACGACCGCTTGAGCTGCGAGTCGTGTTCTCTAAATCTAAAAAGTATATTTACGTAAACCTTAATCTCTTGTCGCCCGATCTCCAGCAAAAAAAGGTACGCCCACGAGCTCACTTCTGTCGCTGGGGGGAGGACGGGCCAGCGTCTTGCTCCACTTCCTCCTCTTCTGCGCTTTCCGATCCCTGCTCTTCCGTGAGAGACATTTCTTGTGCTGTGGCGGACGTTAGCGCTCAAAACGAGTTCGTATGGCTTGGTGGCGGATGCATGGGAAAAAAAAAAGCAAACTCCACTTACTGTTCCACAATTCAGAATAGATGCCATTCTGTTCCAGAAGTTCGCGGTGCGAACCTATCTCCACCACACGGCCCTCCTTCAGCACCAGGATCTGGTCGCAGTCGTAGATCGTCCGCAATCGGTGGGCCACGAAGACGCTCGTGCGGCGCTTCTCCTTGAGAATACTGTTGATGTTCTGCAACAGTGCCTTCTCCGTGTAGGTGTCCAATGCAGAGGTCTGGTTCGGGTGATCCGTTAGCGCCCCAACCCTTTAGCACAAGCGAGTCTACTGGTAGGAAGAGGCATGATACTTACCGCCTCGTCAAAGAAGAGAAGCTCGGGATCCTTCAGGATTAACCGCGAGACGGCCAGTCGCTGCTTCTCACCACCGGAGATCATCATCCCCCGCTCTCCGACAGCCGTCTGGTATCCATCGGGTAGCTTCTCAATCAGTTCGTGGATGTGGGCGCGTCGGGCAGCCTTGCGGACGTCTTCATCGGTCGCGTCGATCTGCCCATACCGGATATTATGTTCGATCGTGTCGTTGAACAAGGGAGTATCCTGGGGCACCACCCCGATGGCCTTGCGCAGACTCTCGAGCGTCACGTCACGGATGTCTTGCCCATCGATGAGGATCCGGCCCTCCTGGACATCGTAGAAGCGGAACAGCAGGCGCAGAATGGTTGATTTGCCGCAACCACTGGGCCCGACGACCGCGAATTTCTGACCGGCAGGGATCGTAAAGCTAGCGTTCTTGAGGATCGGCCGCTCTGGGTGGTAGCCGAAGGTGACGTTCTCGAACCGGATCTCACCCCCTTGGTTCAGCACCAGGGGCTTCGCGTTGGGGCGCTCAATGATGTTCACATTGACTTTTTGCAGATTGAACAACGTTTCCATGTCCAACAGTGACTGGCGAAGCTCGCGGTACACGGATCCGAGGAAGTTCAGAGGGACGGAGAGCTGGAAGACAAGCTGATTAACCATAACCAGGTCACCAACGGTCAGAGTGCCAGTGGCCACGCCGTCGGCCGCGAGATACATCATTGCCGCCAGGGCGCTGGAGAAGATCATGTTCTGCCCAGAGTTGAGGAATGCAAGGGAGGTGGTGACTTTGATCGAAGCATCCTCGTAGTTCTTAAGCGCCTTGTCGTAGCGAGCAACCTCAAACCTCTCGTTGTTGAAGTACTTGACGGCCTCATAGTTGATCAGGGAGTCCACAGCAACGGTGGCACCACGATTATCGGCGGCGTTGGCCTGCTTACGAAATTTGGTTCTCCAGGCGGTGGTGGTAATGGTAAAGGCCGAATATGCGAGCATGGTAGTAGCCGTGATCGCCGCGAATTTGAAGCCATACTGATAAGTCTGTCGTCATGGTTAGTAAGTACCTTGGCACATTCAATTAGACAAACCGGGCCATGCTATACCAGAATCCCGCACACGAGGGAGATTTCCAGCGCGGTAGGGACGACGTGGAACACCATGGAAGTCAGCAAGAAGCTGATACCCTTGGTACCACGGTCAATTGCCCGCGTCAATCCTCCGGTTTGGCGCGTGAGGTGAAAGTTCAAATCTAGGCGTAGTAGGTGTTCAAAGACGTTTCGCGCGACCTTGCGGATCGCTTTTTGGGCAACACTGGCGAAGACCGCATTCCTGAGTTCCTGGAACACAGTGGCACCGATTCTCGTGACACCGTCTGGCAATTCAAGATTAGGCCTGGACAATTGAGCGGCGAGATCCTGACTTACAGGCAATAATCATCGAGCCCGCAACTGTATAGGCTGTACCACCTACAGTCGCGAAATCCACATTCATCGAGTCGACAATGCTTTTGAAGTAGAAGGGTACCTCAACGTTCAAGATCTGGGGGCGCCCGGTCAGCACACCAGTCTGCATGACCAACATTCCCCCTGCAACTTACCTTGGCCCCGATAAGTAGAGATAGGGCGCTTCCAACCCGAAGCTTTGTTCCCCAATCGTCCTGCTCCGTATCTAATTAGCACAGCTCCGGATAGCTCCGCCGCATTTGCATTCGAGTCCTCCCACCTTTGGCCAAAGATACTTTGCCATCTCCTTCATGATCGCCCAGTCCGCTTTCCTTTGTTCCTTGGTCGCTAGCGTGGCCTCGCTAAGCAAGTCCTTCTTCTTGGGAGTAGTGGTGGCATTCTGGTTCTCGGGGGCTGTCGTGGAAGCCTGAGTCGCATTCGCTGCTCCCGGTTGTACCGCAGTTGGGCTGGTAGGGTTCTCCGAGGCGGGAGGTTTGCTCGCAGACACTTGTTTCCTGTTGGATTCGCTGGATGTCGAGACGGCTCTGAGTTGCACTCCGTACAAGGCAGAGGTCCATGAGGTTGGGCGCGTGACAAATCGGCGCTGGTATACGAAGCGCCCCGGGACACGCCAGCACGGCGACCGGGCGGCCCTGGGCAGCATGGTGGCCGGTCAACAATCTTCACAATGACCGGGAAATGTTCAAGACGTCCTCCGCTCTCAATGGCGCATTGTAGTGTCGGACAGAGAAACAGGCACAAGGGTTCTCCGCGCGAGACGCCGCCGGCTTGTGAATGAGGACCCGCCGGGTTCGGAGGAAATCGTCGGCGGGGGGGGGGAGCGCGGGGAGATCGGGAATCTTGATCCTTGAAGTGCTATGAAGGGTCAAGGGGGCAATGGATGTTTGACGACAATCATCAAGGAGTTTTATATGCGAGCCGATAGACTAAATGACACGAATAAAGGCAGATCTGGCGCAATCATCGCCGATTTGGTCTTGTTGGACAATCTCCGGTAGTCGATGGAATTCAAGGTTACTATTGAACACTGCCCGCCGCGTCGACTTTCCATTTCCAGAATAGGTTTAGGTCAACGCCGCCTTTCGCTCTGGGATCAGCAGCCGGGATCGTGGCATGAGCGCGCCCGGTGCGTGTGCTGATGGCTCTTACAATCCGGTGTATAGTGCGTAATAAGCATTCAAGTGCCCCAGCAAGCGCCCCAGCAATCCATCAGCGCTTTCGAAGCAGATCTTTTTCTAATGCCTTGCTCTCGGGCTAGTTTTCGCATATCGCCCCCGTCGAAGCACAATGGAAGGTCTGGCTTTCGCATAACAACATCCAGAACAAGAGGTTTGGGATTACGATGGGGATTGCAAATATCTGTCTTGACTTGACTGTTCGCTCGATGCCAATCACGGATGAAATGTTGGCCATGTTAGCACCGACCACGTGATGTGCAGTCCACGGGCATCTATTTGTCTCTCTCCCTGGGCGTGAATGATGAGGGCACTTTGGCAAAGAGATACTAAGCAAGAGAAGAAGGAAGCAGATGCAGACGGCATGAATCCTGTTGATCGCAACGCCGAGTCCGACGAGGAGAGCGATCAGGACGAAATTGCACTGAACTTGAAAGAATCGGCCCCTTCTCCCGTATCCATCGCATGACTTGTACAGTGCATCCGTTTGACAACTTCCGGTCTTCTGCCCCTGCAACGGGAGATAAAGTAAGCTTTGGAAACAGCCATGTCCGGACAACACTATTCTCTCTCAGCTTTGTTTGTCTTTGGCCATCCAACACATGGGCCTATGGTCGATATCTATCAGGGTGGATTGGATCCACTGATCGTTCCGATACGGATCAATTCGATTCCCCAGAGGCACGGCCCTTCGAATGCTAAGCAGATAAACCCTATCATAACTTAGAGTCGTCGTTCTCTGTAGTCCCACACGGGCTTACCTGATTAAGTTGAGCAGGATGTCAAGAGGGCCGAATACTCGGCTTGGCGGAGTTTCTCTCCCTGGCACTTAGGAACATGCTACACTGACGCTGAGCTGGGTCGCCCAGCGGCCGGCCTGGCTTGAGGGGTGTGGTCCTCTCGGCTTGCGATCTTTCATGGTTGTTAATATCACGACCTTAGCTTCCCGTAGATTATCTCAACCAATTCTCCCAGCCAGTTGTTCACCGGCCGCGTCTAACTGTTCTACTAGCTGCGATTTGCCTACTGGTCGAGATCACCTCAGAGCCGGTCAAGAGGAGATTCTTAGTGTGTTCTCATTGCCAATGTCTTGTCGACCATGGAACACCTGATAGGGTATCGATTGCTCTCCAGCGGCAGAATGGTTCAAGCCCGTATAACGGTCATTGATCTTGTTCAGCCGCGCTATTTGCTTCTCCCTCCCTTCACTTCACAGCCCCTTCATCATCCACTCGTCGAACAAGAGTTCCAAAGCCGTGGCCCGGTCGTCGGGGTTCCACTGCAAGGCCATCCGGAGCCACTGGAAAAACCCCTCTTTACCTTCCCCTTCCACCTCCGAGGCCAGGCTCTCAAGGGTAATATCTGGAATAGAGGCAACCTCCTTCCACTTCCCCGACTTATCCCAGAAGGCTGAGCTGAGGTGTCTCTGTTCCCGGAATTCGGGGGTCGGAGGGCCTAGCAGAGCTATCAGTTCTGCTATATGGACCCGATCATCAAATATGCCATCTGGATTTTTGCCATTGATCAGGGTGCGAGAGCTGACAATATCTCAGGCCTAAGTATACCCCAGTATTAGCATTTTTAAGATAAGTAAATGTAAGAATAGTTCTACTCACAACCATAGCAATATTCCATATATCTACCTTATAGTCCCAGCACGACCTTAAAATCACTTCCGGAGCTCTATAAACATTCGGCATAATATCGCCATTCTGCTTTTTATCGCCAAATCGAGCTTCTCCAAAATCAGCGAGAATTGGCAGTCCGCCCGGAGAGAGAAAACCTAAAGACTTGTAGATCGTTCGATCTTTAAGCTTCTTTCGGGGTGTTGGGTTTCCAACTTCACGCTCTTCGAATTGGAAAAGATGGCTTGTCTCCGGGCCGGGAAGTAGTAGGTTCTTCAGCTGGAGATCTGTGCCAACACTAGGCCTGTAACTCAAGATCCTCAAGGGGGGTGGTAAGCATATAACCTGTATGGATGATATGGCACTCTGAATGCAGGAAATCCAGGGCGACGAGTAGCTGTCGGATAGCAGGCTTCATGAAATCAAGGGTTTTTTCGTTCCGAGGAGCCATCCTTGCTAGAAAATCTGCAGTCATTCCGAGAGGCTCGTGAACAAGACAGGCGTGACAGCCATGAGGGCCCTGGAGATGAAAATAGTTGAGAAGCTTACGAATGAAGTTTTCCCGGGGTGTTGTGCTTCCACCGAATTAATGCGCTTGTAAATGTCTAGTTCTCGCTCAAGGTCCCGGTTCTGGCCCGTGACGTAGACCTTTAAAACCACATATGTCGATGCACTGGTTTGAAGCATACTATTAGGATCTCCGTTATCATCAGAGCCAATGAATCAACTGCACATACACCAAGTCTTTCGCCAGCCAAACTGTGGAAGTGACTCCGTATCCTAGTTTGGCAAGGGTTTGATACCGATCATTGAGTACTTCACCCTGGGTGACTAGGTAGTATTTCTCGGGTTGGTAATTCGGCAGTGTCTCCTCGTCAAGCTCAGCGGACTGGTCCAGCAACTTGACCCCCGAGGTGGGAAACACTCTCGGGGTGCATGTCCACTGCGCTGACGAAATTACCGTTCGACGCAGCACTGCTGTAGTTCCCAGAGCTGACTGAAGGGAAGTTCGACGACAGCAAGAAGTGGAGGGTAGAGACTTAGCAAAACACCTGCGAGCACCGGGAAGGCAAACATTAGTCCAAGCGATTCGCCCGGCTCGCTTCATTATGAAGTTAGGCAAAAGGGAGAACGCTCAAGAGGAATCGGACGGAGAACATAGTCCTCAACCCAGTACAGGTCACGGCCTAATGTCTACTTAGCTAACTTCCATTGTACGGGCGCCGGTGATGAGATGAGCGAGTTGCGGGGCCGATTCGCCTTCATGGAGACATGGACAGTCCTCCTTGGGCGTCTCCACAACCTTATCTGTGCAGATAAAGTGGCCCTGATAGAGTCAAATCACGTGGTTTGGTGCGTACCCCGGAGTAATGGTGTGCGTGTCCGGATTATTCCGCGAGCGCTCCCTGAGCCATCTCGGTCCAGTCACGTGAATCCCTCTTTTCAAAGATGCCAGGGCTTACAATTCAGCTCGCGTACCCATGTTATCTTTGGTCACTCACTTGCAGGCAGTGATCATGATATGTATGCATATTAGACAGTACCAAGTAGCCTTGTCTTTTAATGGCAGGGGAGGAATAACAACCACTCCTCCAACTCGTACTAGAGCTAACTACACCGCAGAAGTTATACGCGTGAGATCGGTATGACATCAGCGGGAAGCCGTCTGGCGCACAGAAACCACCAGAGCTCAATGCAACACTTCTCCTGGTTGGGATGAAGGCTTATCCTTGAGGTAAACAGAGTTATCTCTACCCTTACAAGTGGCTTTGATCTCATTTCCGCCGTTCAACTGCAGACCAAAAAGCACCAGGGTAGAAGTGGTCGAACGCCGGTCATTGAGTGCCAAGCCGCAGAGCAACGCTTTCCCCGATCAGGAACTGCGAAGAATTACTGCGATTACCGCGGAGGACGAGCCGAAGCATCCTCGTTCAGCTCCCAGTTATTTCCTCCTCTCTTCGCAGATTCACACACTCCCCTTTCAACCATGGCAACAGGCCAACCTTTGAGGGGAGCTGTCCGGGCTCTGTCCTGGACTCGTGTTTCTCCCCCTCGGGCGCGACAAGGAGCTTTGCTGCACCGCGCATGCCAGACCAGAGGCGTCCAGATTCGCGCTGCGCCCGCGGAACAGCCTGCGGTCAATGGAGACAATCTCCCTGTGTCCAGCACTCCCACATCAGCTGAGTCCGCTGGTAGGTCTTGTCGCAAATCCAATTCAATGCGGTGCAGGCAATTGGAGCCCTCGGTTCACACTGAAACTCCTTGCTAATATACTCCTATCGATATAGATGCTCGGTTCGATGTCATTGGCGCACCCTACTCGCTCCTGTCGGTTTCGCTTTCCGCTTCGCAGAATCTGTACACTCGCCGAGGGACGTTGGTTGGGTTGAGTGGGAAAGCAGACAATGTATGCAAATACCGGAACTTTCGCAATCTGCTCACGTACGAGCTACCTCTAACATCTGATACCACCAGGTGATTTCCACCTTGAGTGTCCTTGAACCTTTCCGGAGAGCTGTTGTCGGCGTGCCGTTCCTCTATCAAAAGGTCTGATCTGTCTCCATAAGTCGAGGGGTTTGGGGCTAAATTTCCGCGCAGATATCCTCCGCCAGCCCGGTGACGGCCCTGGTCTCCGTCCGCTCGCCAAACACCTCTTTTGCGGTCGTACACCTCAATGGCTCGGTCGACTGGATGGTCGCTCAAAGGCGAGCGCTACTTGCCTGGACAGGTCGTTCGCTCTCCATTCGACCCACCATCAACACGAACCTGGTTCGTCTCATCCGGAACGTCACATGGTCTTATGATTATAGCTAATTCGCGAAGAGCCTGGCCCACTGGGGTAGCTCTGAGGTCACTGGCAGAGGATTGTTGGCTCTGGTTGGCAACGGCCAGCTGTATTCGGTCGAGCTCAAGGCCGGCGAGCAATACATAGTCCATCCCAGGTATGCTTGTCAATTCTACCCACTGTGCAGAAGCTCAGCTAACTGGTCTCGAAAAGCAATGTTGTTGCTTACACTATCTCGTCCAACCCCCCTCGTCCCTACCGTTTCAAGTCTACGACATTGAAGCTTCAGGTTCCGGGCCTTAAGAACCTGCCTGCCTTCATTCAAAGCTACATTCAGAATTCCAAGTTCCTCCAAGCTATGTCCGAAGCGGATACTTGGAAGTCTACAATGAAGCTGGTTCACAGGCTTCGCACCTGGTCTCGAATGACCATCTGGGGTGACAGGGTATGCTCAATCGATCTCACCCTCAAGTTGTATTGCGCCCAGTGCTGATGCTGTTTAGCTGTTCCTTCAATTCGACGGCCCTACAACTATTCTCCTTCAAACCCGCGGGCCTCGCATCAACGAGGTCCTGACGAAGCACGAGGTGAACGAGCTTGCCAGTGCTCCGCGTGGATTGACCATTGGCCCAGCGAAGCCTCCAACACCGGCGGAGGAAGCATCGCGGAAAGCAGCCGAGGAGGCGGTGAATGCTGCCCCTGTTCCCTCCCGGACGGCGAACGACTTGTTCCAAGAAGCAAAGGGCACGTCGCAGAGCGTCGCCAGACTCACCAAGAATGGCAAGGTGGTTTTTGAGAAGCTGGAATGAGCCAATTGAGTTGAGCAATCTGTTTCAATTATCCTGTTCCGTTGCATAAGTCCGAGTTCAATTATTGGAGGGTTCATTTTCATTGCAGGCTCAATGTGCTATAGACAGCATGCGTCCGATCGTACGCCAAAACTCTCTTCATGAATCCCATATCTTGCTGATCGCGCTTGGATCATCTGCTGCCTTTTCCTGACTTCTGCCACTTCATCTCTCGAACTTGCTCATGAGGAATTACAGTAAACACGGGCAGCAGTTGCGCAAAAGTATGGAAGAGGTGAACATCATTCCGGACCAAGGGTCCTGCAAGGGGCTCCAATAGATCGGGCATATCAAGGTTTGCTCATCATATTTGACTTCTCTGTTGTGCCAAGCCCCCCTTGGTACGGATTGTTTTGAACGACTCGTTTATGAGCTAACCGACCCGTAAGGGATAATAACTCACCCCATGGCGACGAAATCCCCCCGAATGGCTCCGTTCGATTTCAAAATTTATCTCCGGCCCGTGCCGGTGCCTCGTTCTCATCGAGGCTCATCCTGTATCACCGTTCTTGTTGAGAAGGCAGTTCTTGACAAGAATATTCCTACCTTGGAGTGACCTGTCGGACATACGAGAATCGTGACCCCCGAGACCACGAGTCTTGAGAAAGATGACGAACAACATGCAACGGCACGAGTTTGACCTTCCCAGTGAGCTTCCCGCAGAAGACATCAATGAACTATATCACAGCCATGGATCGACTTCAACAACAACGCAGGTCGACGTTGAAGCTGACAAGGACGAGCTTGTCAGCGGGCGACAACATCCTCTCGAGGCAGGGCAAGAAGGAAGCAGCAACACGAGCGATTCAGTGGAGAAGATAGGCGCTGCCGCGGCCACGACGCAGCTGGCACAAGGGCCCAAGGGAGCTCCAGATGGTGGGATGGAGGCCTGGCTCACTGTTCTGGGTGGCTTCTGCGCTATGTTCGTCAGCTTCGGCTGGGTCAACTGTGAGTTTCTGCTCGCAGCACACTCTGGGTGAAGTCTGTCATTGATGAGCGAAATTAGGCATGGGCATTTTCATCGATTATTACAAGACACACCAGTTGCAGGACGAGTCCACCAGCACTGTGACATGGGTCACGTCTCTGATGACCTTCATGATGTTTTTCGGGGTACGTAGATGCCATATACTTTAACTCTCTCTACGCCAACCATACGCATCCTTGCAACTGACCAGGGGACAGGGCCCCTTCGTCGGGATCCTCTTCGACAACTTCGGACCCCGATACATCGTGCTCGCCGGCACCTTCTTCCACGTGTTCGGACTCATGATGATCTCCATCTCCACGGAGTACTACCAGTTCCTGCTCGCCCAGGGCCTGTGCAGCCCGATCGGCACCAGCGCGCTCTTCCACTGCAGCATCAACTCCATCAGCACCTGGTTCGGGCGGCGGCGCGCGCTCGCGCTCGGCATCGCCACCAGCGGCGCCAGCCTGGGGGGCGTCATCCTCCCGATCATGCTCACCCGGCTCTTCGACCAGCTCGACTTCGGCTGGGCGGTGCGCATCTGCGCCTTCCTGATCCTGTTCTGCCTGGTCATCGCCAACTGCACCCTGAAGTCGCGGCTCCAGCACCGCCGCAAGCCGTTCCACTTCCTCGACTTCGTGCGGCCCCTCCGCGAGGTCCCCTTCCTGCTCACCACCGCCGGCACCTTCTGCTTCTTCTGGGGCATGTTCCTCCCCTTCAGCTTCATCCCCAGCCAGGCGCAGAAGAACGGCATGTCGGCCTCGCTGGCATCATACCTGATCCCCATTATGAATGCCGCTAGGTTCGTTGCCCCAACCTCAAAAAGCCCCCTCTTTCATCCCAAACCCAACCCAACCCAACTAACCCTCGTGGAACACAAAAATAGCACCCCAGGCCGCATCATCCCGCCCTACCTAGCGGACCTGTTCGGCCGCTTCAACCTGATGATCCTCATGACGTTCCTGTCCGTCGTCCTCGTGCTGGGCCTCTGGCTCCCCACGCACGGCAATGTCCCCTCCATCTGCTTCAGCGCCCTGTACGGCTTCAGCTCGGGCACCGCCGTCTCCCTGGCCCCCGCGCTCGTCGCCCAGATCTCCGAGATCCGCGAGATCGGCGTCCGCAGCGGCACGTACTTCTTCCTCGTCAGCTTCGCCGCCCTGACCGGCACCCCGATCGCGGGAGCCCTGCTCCCGGACCCCTTGCACGGGTCGTATCTCAAGCTGAATGTCTTCTGTGCGGTGGTGATGTTCTCCGGGGTGGTGTTTTATTGTTTGGCCAAGTTGTGGATTAGTGAGGGGAGGGTGGTGAGGAAGGTTTAATTTTTTGGGGGCAGGGGGGGGGGTGTAAAAGTTGGTTGAGAGAAAGGTAGAATGACGGGTTAATTCAAATGGGAGAAAAAGAGATTCATAGACGGTACGGGATCAAAATGTCTGTCGAATCATCATATTGTTAGTGTATGTGTTGTTTAAGATTGAGTATATCTCCTAATCAAGAATGGTAAAGTAATTTCAATCATATAACTCAAAATTCTTCCCTCGAACTCCCAGCACCAAATCAACTCCAGAATAACGCCCTCGCTTGATGGGGTCAATGATGGCTCATGCCAAAAATGCATATGTGCAAATGCAAAAGAAACAAAAAGCGGACACACAAAATGCAGAACTCAGATGGCACATCCTGCCTTCTCATAGGGAATACCAAATACCGCTTTGAAGAAAAAGCGGAAGAAGTCTTCTATACCAAAACGCCATTGCGCATGCTCTGAACACTCTTCATCCCCACTCCCTTCAACTTGCTCAACTCTGCGAGACTGTGGATGTGCACTTGAGCTGCTGCGGCTTGCTCTTGCTCCAGCTCCGGGCTCTCGACATGCTGATCCATCTCGCAGAGACAGTCGACGATGGCCTCGGCCTTTTTGACCCCCACGCCTTTCAGGAGCTTGATCTGACTCACATCACGGGAGTTGATGATTGAGAGGAGGTGGATGGTTCGTGGAGATGGAGGCTCGAATTCTTCGGCCATATCGATGGGCGTTTTCGTGCGGGTGCGCTTCCGCCGACGGGCATGGGCGATTTCTTCGAGGTCGACCTCGATTTCCTCGATCTCTTCGTCTTGATTCACTACTTGCTGGGTATCTTCGTCGTCGACAGGCTCGTAGTCTACGTCAGAGTCCTCTGCGTTGGTGCGTTTGAGAGTTGCTTTGGCGGCGGGTTGCTTCTTGAGGGACAGCATGCTTCCGAAGTCGCGCTTGCTGGGATGAGAATTAACGGCGCTGCTAGTCGTGTCGACAGCTGGGGTTTCCGTTTGGGATTTGCCGTGGATGCGTTCCTTCAGGTTGGCAATCTTCCGAGCTAGCTTCTCGTTGTTGGGAAAGAATGGAAGTGCCAATTGATACATCTTGAGAGCGAAATTGTCCTCACCACGACCTTGGTGCTGTTTGGCCATGAGAAGGTATGATAGACCCTCTGCTCGCGCATCTTCCGATCCCTCAATCCGTTGCTCGAGAAGCTCCAAGCGGCGTTGCACTTGCTCATTGAGCTCGCGAACTTGCGTTTGCCGTGACTGCTCGCTGACCGCTCGCACAGCGAGAATTTCCTCGACTTTTCTCTCAACCATCTCCTCAATCCTCGCGGCTGAGAAATCCTCGAATTGCTTCGGGGGCTGCTGGTGAGTCGGTTGTGCGAGACGCATGGGCTGTTTCGTGATTCGAGCAGTGGTATCGGCGCTGAGAGATGTGCGCTTCGGCAAATCGGGCTTCTTGAGCTGGGTGGAGAAGCGCGGTTGTGACTTGTCGGAGTAGACGTGAAATGCTTTCAGGGGCTTTTCGCCAGGGTTTGCAGCGTCTTTGGCTGCCGTTGTGGTCAAATTTACATTGACAGATGCAGTCAGAGGGCGTAAGGGTTGGCGCAGCGTGCCCATGATTGAAGGCCGTGCCACCGGCCTGGGAGGTCCCTTGAAGATGGGTTCGTTCTCCACTTCGCGCACTTCAATCTTCTTTGTTCGGTTGGCGAAGTTAAGGGAGCTGATTGTATCGAGATGATAGGATTTGACAGGGGCGAGGTTCAAGATCATGACCGTCAGCCCATTGTTCTGTCCCAAGGAGAGAATCCGAGTCATTTTCGATTCGCGGTATGGAATTCTGGAGTGCTTCTTGCTGATCGCTTCCACACACTGGGCGAGCACAAATAGACTCTTGTTGATACTGGCAGATTCGACCATGCGCTCCTTATCGTTGTCAGTCCGACGATTGTCCTCCGAGCCGGCAAGATCAATGGCCGACGCAGTGCTGACGCAGGTTTTTTCGCCAGTGCTCACTGTTACGCGCACACAGAGGATGGCGTGAGAGCGTGATGAGTGGGCATTTAGCTGTAGCGAAGTGAGCAATTAAGCTTCCTAGTGAAAAGCATGGGAACACACCTTGGTGGCAGACGTCGATCTGTTGATGTTCGCCTGGTCATACAAGGTCTCAAATTCCTTGAGGTTGTGGCATGGTCTCTCCGTCAGGCCGACAACTACAGTCTTGCCTCCATTATCACGGAGGGGGAGGCCTGCCAATGTTCTCTTCTCTGGAGGCTCGAACAGATCGAAGACCTTGTCGTTGTAGATCTCGTAATAACTCAAAGAGACGTTGACCGTGGTTTCGCCACCGCTTTCCTTCTCCATTTTCCGGCTGCGCCTGTATATGCTGCTGAGGAGACGAGGAATGACGCCTCTGTCAACCAGGCTTTTGCCGCCTCGCATGGTGTGCGTCTTCCCTGTCCCCGTAACTCCGTATGCGAAAAGTGTGACATCGAAACCGTTGAAGAGGTGCTTGACGGTTGGTGCGACTGCGCATTGAATCAGACAGGCATATTCCATGACTTGGACTCCCAACACTCACCCTCGGCCTCATACAGCTCCTGCTGTGTGGCTTCCGCCTCGTAGACAGCATTGAACTGGAAAGAGTACTCTTCGCTCTCATTCTTTGGGTTCGGGATCCGTACTACAGTACCCCTATCCCTCAGTGTTGCCAATGCTCCTTTCTCTTGTGTGGTAGTCTTCTTGTCGGCACCGTGGGCAGACGGGCCAGTGCGAAGGATGACGTCTAAGTCACGCTCCGACTTGAGCAGAGGTCGAATACGTGCGACGACCCGAACACTCATCGTGAATTATTGGTTATGTGCCAGCACAGCCAGAGTACACTGATTTCCAAACTCAAATGTTGTATGGTACCAATAATTCGTGCTTATCCAGGTTGTTCGTGCCCTTTGAACTGACCGTGTCGACCAATTATGCTTCGAACCTTGAAGGCGTGGGTATTAAAGTCATTAAATATGAGTTGGGTGGGCGCAAGAACCGGGACTGTCGCTCAACGTCGCAATATTAGGTCGGTAGATTCCAGTACAACCAGTACAAAAGTTGCTCAATTGACTCTCGTTGACAACAGCAAAACGCAGCAAACAAATTGATCGAACGTGAAGTTTGCACCCGGGCGTGCTCGTGGTGTTCGAAGGGCCGTTGATGACGAGATGAGCTCGAATTGGCGAAAGCGACAGGGATAGCCTCGTTGTGGTGCGACTGCCAGCGGTCAGCGCTGTTGGCACGGCAACCACGCCCACGTTCTCCCTGCCTGTTCTTCTTCCCGCCTGCACATGTGGGACCTACAACTGGTACTTGATTGAGGATAAGGTATAATTATCTGTACCTAGTACTTGACACACTCCAATCCCGATGGTGTTCTTGAATTTGATACCTACCTAGTATTCACCCCTGTATGCCATTTCTGCCATAGATAGCCGATCGCAATATGCATCTGCCAACCATTGCGTTTGATATGTATATAGTATTCACATTAGAAAGACAGAACCCCTGGATACGAAGTAAGGCAGGGAGATGCCGAAAGTGACAAGCAGCAAAGGTCATTTATGTTTAGTAGACAAGTATAACTACGGACTAATCAATCCATGGTAGCGATACCCCATGTCCAGGTGGAAATCTTTTTAGCCACTAATGACTTCCCTGAGTTAGTATGAGATCATTCTGCCACATCACACAGCTTGCAGGAGACATCCACAGTTTTGCTGAATGTCGACCCTAATAATAATTATTACAGTAAGGTACAGATTGTAGAGCATCTCGAGAGTACGGGTTCTAGAGAGAATTTCCCCTCGAATTGGCATTGTAAGTATAACTACCTAAAAGGCTAGGTTGAACATGATGATGGATGTTGTAAAAGAGCAAGTCGGGCTCGGATGCGGTGAGGTGCTGATTGGCCGGTTGGCGGCAGCCGCAAAGGCCACCGTACACCATCCACTGTCCACTGCACTGATCACTGCACTACCAACTCGACTCTACCTACCTACCTAATTACGCTGTGCCTTTGACATTAACGCAACTAACCACCTATCTTCTCCTGGTTGCATTTCACCCTTTCTTGCTGGAGTCTCACCTCGACGTGTTCTCCTGCTTGACTCTCAGAGCCTCTCCAACCCGTGCGGTTTGGTGAATCTATCCCCGGTCATTGGTACCCAGTCGCTCTCCGTTCCCCTCCCTGAACTCTCCCACTTTGTTTCAAATTGTTGACTGACCACCGCCCCTAATACAGTGACCTTGCAACGATTCACAAACCATCCCGCACACCTCCCACTATAACCGCCTACAGTCATAAATCACAGCCGACCTCCATGGCAGCACCACAAGGGGGTTATCCGCCCCAAGAAGGGTACGGTCAGCCTGTAGGTTACGGAACTCCTGAGCAACAACAGCCCGCGGGGCAAGGGCAAGCTGGCGCACGAAAGAAGAGACAATATGCAGGCGAAGCCTTCGACTTTGGCTCCGGTGCCAATGCTGCCTTAGGAGGCCAGTTACCGGGCGGTGGTAGCTATGGAGCTTACCCGGCGCAAGCACCAGCTGCTGCGGGATACCAGCAACCGGCCTACGCAGACCCTACTCAGATGCACGCTGCTGCCCCGGCTTACGGGGCGCCCGCCTCCCCGCCAGTCGCACAGATGACCCAGCAGTTCGGTGCTATGGGAGTCACCGATCCACACTTGATGCCGCCGCAGCCCGTGGCTCAAGCCCCCCAGGCTCCGCGGGCAGTCCCTCTCAACCAGCTCTATCCTACCGACCTCCTCACTCAGCCGTTCAACGTTGCCGAACTCGACTACCCCCCGCCTCCTATCGTTCTGCCGCCGGGTGTAAGTGTCCATGGCCGGTTTCCTTATCACGGACGGGAAACACTAACTTCACTCATTAGACCAGCGTTTACCCCTCTCCGTATGCCAATTGCCCCCCGAAATACGTTCGCTCCACGTTGAATGCGGTTCCTACGACGCACTCGCTCCTGAAGAAGTCCAAGCTGCCTTTTGCGCTCGTCATCCAGCCATATGCAGCGCTGCATGACTCCGAAGATCCCATCCCAGTCATTCCCGATCAGGTCATCTCCCGTTGCCGACGCTGCCGCTCCTATATCAACCCCTTCGTCACATTCCTCGACCATGGACACCGCTGGCGTTGTAACATGTGCAACCTGACTAATGACGTACCTCAAGCCTTCGATTGGGATACTGCTCTCCAGAAGCCTGCGGACCGGTCGCTGAGGGCTGATCTCAACCATTCGGTCGTGGAATTTGTCGCCCCTCAGGAGTACATGGTTCGCCCCCCTCAGCCGCTAGTTTATCTGTTCTTGATCGATGTCAGCTATGCTTCGGTCACCAATGGTCTGCTCGCGACAAGTGCACGGTGCATCAAGGAAAGTCTCGATCGGATCCCGAACGCCGACCGTCGCACCCGACTCGGCTTCATCGCGGTTGACTCCAGCCTCCACTACTTCAGCATCCCTCGGGATGGGTCGGACAACTCTGACCCTAGAATGCTGGTTGTCAGTGACCTGGACGAGCCTTTCTTGCCCATTCCGGGTGATCTTCTGGTGACCTTGAGCGAATGCCGGGAAAACATCGAGTCGTTCCTCGACAAGCTGCAGGAGATGTTCCAGAATACCCAGAGCAACGGCTGCGCCATGGGGTCCGCTCTGCGCGCTGGTTACAAACTGATCTCTCCTGTGGGCGGTAAGATGACCGTGCTTAGTTCTTCTCTGCCTAACATCGGCCACGGCGCTCTCACCATGAGAGAAGACAAGAAGGTCCTTGGCACCAGCAAGGAGAATGCTCTTCTGCAAACAGCGAACAGCTTTTATAAAAGCTTTGCCGTGGAATGCTCCAAGGCACAGGTCTCTGTCGACATGTTCTTGTTCTCTTCTCAATACCAGGACGTTGCGTCTCTCAGCAACCTACCCCGGTACACTGGTGGACAAACGTACTTCTATCCGGGCTGGAACGCCGCTCGCCCAGAAGATGCGATTAAATTCGCCCGCGAGTTCTCCGAATACCTTTCGTCTGAGATTGGTCTGGAGGCTGTGCTCCGTGTCCGCGCTACCACCGGCCTCCGCATGAACACTTTCTACGGAAACTTCTTCAACCGCAGTTCCGATCTCTGCGCTTTCCCCGCGTTTCCCCGCGATCAGGCGTATGTGGTTGAGGTTGCCATCGATGAGACAGTCACGAAACCTGTTGTCTGCTTGCAGACCGCCGTCCTCCACACCACTTGCAACGGCGAGAGAAGAATCCGCGTTTTGACTCTGGCGCTTCCCACCACCCAAAACCTGGCTGACGTCTTCGCCTCGGCGGACCAGCAAGCAGTCGCAACCTACTTCAGCCACAAGGCCGTCGAGCGGGCTCTGGGAAGCGGTCTGGAACCTGCCCGGGACGCCCTCCAGGCCAAGGCCGTGGAGTTGCTCTCCACCTACCGGAAGGAGTTGGCCGGTGGAAGTGTGAGCGGCGGTGGTCTCCAGTTCCCTGCTAACCTGAGAGCACTCCCCGTTCTTTTCCTTGCCATGATCAAGAATGTAAGTTTTCTCTCGCGCCCACTCAGTTTCCCATCAGCATCTGATTCTCGATTAGCTCGGTCTTCGCAAATCTGCCCAGATCCCCACGGATATGCGCTCTGCGGCTCTCTGCATGCTCTCTACGCTTCCCCTTCCTCTCCTCATCCAATACATCTACCCGAAGATGTATTCCCTCCACGACATGCCGGACAACGCTGGGTTGCCCGATGAGCAGACCGGCGAAATTGTCCTCCCTCCTCCAGTCAACCTGTCGTCCGAGCGGGTGGTTCCGTATGGCCTCTACCTCATCGACGATGGCCAGACGCAGTTCTTGTGGGTCGGACGCGATGCGGTACCTCAGCTGATCGAGGATGTATTTGGGCTGGCAGACCGATCGCAGCTCCGGGTGGGCAAGCAGAACCTGCCGGACTTGGACAACGAGTTCAGCCAGCGGGTGCGTGCGGTGATCGAGAAGAGCCGGGATCACCGGTCGAAGGGGGTGGGCAGCATTGTGGTGCCGCACCTGTATGTGGTCAAGGAAGACGGCGAACCGGGGCTCCGCTTATGGGCGCAGACGATGTTGGTGGAAGACCGTGCGGACCAGAGCGTCAGTCTGGTGCAGTGGATGGGCTCCTTGCGGGAAAAGGTTTGATTGCTCCGTTTCCTAAGCGCCTTTGTCTCTGCCAGTTGATCCATTACTCTTTCTGCCGTCATCGACGTACGAGTCTATACTTGGAGTCACGCAGACTGACAAGCTTTTCGAACACACCTACAGGTTGTTCAGTAATGATAGCTTCTCCCTTACTGGTAAATTATTTTCCAAATATACATCAATACAACTTCCGTGATTATGTCAAGATTTGTTTCCTTTCTGCTTTCTCTTCAGCGCTTGCTCCGGTGGTTGGCCTCGATTGGCGGGTTATTCTTTATCGGGTTGAGTGATGGGCAGGCCAACAAGAAAATACAAAAGTTCCGTGGAGCTTGTGGTTGATGTTGGGCGTGTGTTCGGGTGTTGTGTATGGACCAGACGCCTTTTTTTTTCCGGCATATCGAGCCATGTGCTCGCTAATCAAGTGCCGCCCACATGGGGGTTGAAGCTATGCATTGTCCAGTACAACACTTTGTAGGCTTTTTTTTCCCGTTATTTGCGGGCTGTTTCATAAGGCTGGTCACGATGCTAAACTTCACCAACCATCCCCCCAGTTTACCGCTAAATACGAATGTGATCCGAGGTTTTGACATGGGTTACGAGCTTGGTGGTTGGCTAGTCCTGTAGCTAACCCTGGGCGAGTAAGTGAGGGAGGGCGTTGTTGGGCTGCATGGGCCCTGAGTTACTTTGTGAGTGTATGCCTGTAGTCTGTGGTCACTGGTCAAGTCAGCCCATCCATGCACGGTAAGCTTTAGATCACACAAGTGCCAGAGCTGGCTGCAAGTATGACGGACGGTCATCACATTCGAGCCTCCGAGCCAACTGACTGCATTTAATGGATCGTCTCCCGGGATGAAGGGGGCGGGCGGGAGGGGGATGAAGAAGAAGAAGAAGAAGTGGAAAGGTGACGAACCGACTTCGAATTGAAGACTATGATTTGATGAACGGGGCTGTGATCAAGTCGAGTAGCACACAGTAGTCGGTCGTTCGGTCTGGTCTACGGAATAATAAGAGCGACCAAAGAGCACTCACTGCACTGCCCCTCCCTCTCCTCTCCTGGAAGAAAGTAATAAGACCAGTGTACTAATCTATCTGTGCGGCTAGGCCAGGGTGATGGATGGATCTCATGGATCATCTCTCACAGTACGGAGACGGAAAGGCAAGAAGATCCCTGGGCCCAGGGAATGGAAAGAGTGGGGATTTTGTAGATATTTAGTCGACTAATCCGGTTTCAGTAGTGGTGGGCCACTGCTAGAGAAGGGGGGGGTGTCTGAGAGACGGTGAAACTGCCAGAGATTGGCGCCCGTGGCGGGTTTTGGGACTTGGAAGCTGGGAGGGCTGGAGGCTGGAGGAATTGAATCGCGTCTCGTGGGCTGGTTGAAACACGAAACACTGGTCCAGACGTAGTTTCTTGGGTTTTTGGGAGGGGATTGACAGTTGCCCTTGAGATGACAGGATGGAAAGAGGAGCTCTTCAACTGAAAGTTGGAACGGAGACTGGACTGGCTTTTCTTGGAAAAGCGAAGGGTCGCATTTTCCTGTTGTCTGTTTTTTTGACTGCTGGAGTTGGGCGTTGGTTCATTGCTTGCTCTCTCCACGCAAAGGGAGGTATTCAGACCCGGCCTTATTGAGGGGGTGATTACATTGTCTGCTTGGGGTTATTGCAGAGTCACGGCATTTAGTGGTGGCTCAGTGGCTGCTGTATCCGCTGTGAAATGATCTTGGTTTGTGATTGATGAGATAGTTTGCTTTGATTTAATCATTGAGGGTGCTCGAACAAGAGATAGACTTGATGGTGTTGATACTGAGGAGTAGATATAATGATGGCAGCATTTCTGGATCAGGAACCAAAAACCACCCCCTCCCCTCCCCAACCGTACCACACAGACCGGTGGTGATTTCCACTGCAGCGGCCCCTCCGTCTCTTCAACCAAGGTTCTTCTTTCATCGGGACTCATTCATTATCACTCTTATTGTTGCCTCCCCCTTGTGATTGTCGACGGGGATTATCATTATTATTATTATTATTTTTGAGAAGTGTCGTTAGTTGGAACAGACTATTGCTGTCAGTGTCATCACCTGCTACTTACTATCTTTGTCCTCATCTGTCCACGGTCTTATCTGCTGCCTCCGTATCGATAACTGACCTTCCCCTCCCCCCCATTTATTATTGCTCCACGGCGATTCAGGTACACAACTTCCCACGCACGCACGCACGCTCTCTCTCTCTCTCCCTCTCCCTCTCTCTTCCCCTCCTCCCTCCTCCTCTCCCTCTTCTTCTTCCTCGGTTCCTCCTCCTTTCCACTGAACTCTCTCTATTCTATTCAATCTTCTTCTTCTCCTCTACTTTCCTATTCTTAGGAAATCCAATTTGTTGCTTCAAGGTGAATGCAAGTCTTAATTCTGCCACTCTCTCCCTCTCTCCCCTCCCCACTTGCGGGTGATTAACTTTCCCACTACGGACACTAGTTCCCCTCCACGACTGCCACTATTTGCCCTTCTCTCTCTCACTCACTCTCTGCCTCTGTCTTTCTCTCTCTCTCTCCAACCCCTCCACAACACCCGCCGACTGCTAGCTAGTCTGTCTGTCGTTCGTTACCTTCCCTCGCCTGCTCTTACTTCCTACTTCCTAGTCATTCCCCCCCCCCCATCCACTATCCCACTATCCCACTCCCCCCCCTCCCCCCTCTGCCCCCTTCTCCGTCGAAACGCCGTGGGTTGGTTTTCCCTCTATCTTTTGTCGCTTCATGTGTATCTTAGTCAAAAGAAACTCGAAACTGACCGCTGTCGTCGATCTAGAACCAGGACAGAAGACACCTGGAAGACAAACCGTCCCAAAAATAGAAACCGGCCTGTGAGACACCCAGCACCAGTAACCCCAATTCTCTCCTCACCACTGGTAAGCTTCTCCTTTTTCTCTCGCCCTCTCTCTTGATCCTCTACAAGGAACCTTTAATAGGGCCCGGTCTTCGGTCCTTTTTTGTCGCTGGTGTGGATAATTGACCAGTTCGTCTTTCTGTGGTCCAGGTCGTCAGCAGTGACGTGGATCGATCTAAGCGCCGTGTGAGCAGTTTATTTGTTCCTTTGATCACCCTCTGCGCCCCTGGATCGTGATCCTACCTGGCATCCCTTCGCCACTTCCTCTTCAAAATCAACGCTACTTCGGAACCTCTGCACACCAACGTGCGTGCGTCTTCCTTTCCCGGTTCGATTGCAGGCACGCGCTGTACCCCGCTCCCGATCTTCGACGGTTCCCCGACAACGGCCACTCGTCCAGCGCATACACCCTGGCATGCGGATTTGTTGTAATTAGGCTCCAACTGCGCTCCAACCCAGCTTCTTCTGGTAAGCGCTATGCCATGTGTTTGTTGCTTGAATGTGTGATGGGCCCTAGGCGTTATCTCGTGGGCGATCCGCTGCTTGTCTGCATGTGACGAACCACGCCCACCATCACTGCGATGCTTAGGGGCTGTTGGCCTGCTACAGTCCTCCTCCTCATCGTTGGGCTGGCAAGTCGGCGATGAGTTGGACTATCACTTGGCGCGGGGTTCATCACACAAAACGCCTGCTTTGGTCGGCATGAACTGACCTTTGCTTAGAATTCCTATCATAACTGTCACCATGGTGCAACAAATGCCTCCTCAAGGAGGATCACGCAAGATCTCCTTCAATGTCTCAGATCAATATGAAATTCAAGATGTCATCGGAGAGGGCGCCTATGGTGTTGTCTGGTGAGTTTTGTTAGATGAACCGAGCGCCGTAGCCGACAACTAATTGGCCTCAGCTCCGCGATCCACAAGCCTTCCGGACAGAAGGTCGCCATCAAGAAGATCACACCATTCGACCATTCCATGTTCTGTCTGCGAACCCTACGTGAGATGAAGCTGTTGCGGTATTTCAACCACGAGAACATTATCTCTATCTTGGATATCCAGCGGCCTCGGAATTATGAGAGCTTCAACGAGGTGTACCTGATCCAGGTAAATTTAGAAGTCATGCAACATGGAAACCCAGCGACTGATCGAACCAGGAATTGATGGAGACAGACATGCACCGCGTCATCCGTACTCAGGACCTTTCCGACGACCATTGCCAATACTTCATTTACCAGACCTTGCGCGCGCTGAAAGCCATGCACTCGGCGAACGTTCTGCACCGTGATCTCAAACCATCCAATCTTCTTCTTAATGCCAACTGCGACCTGAAAGTCTGTGACTTCGGCTTGGCTCGGTCTGCTGCATCGACGGATGACAACTCGGGTTTCATGACGGAATATGTGGCTACACGGTGGTATCGTGCGCCGGAGATCATGTTGACGTTCAAGGAATACACGAAGGCGATTGATGTGTGGAGTGTGGGCTGTATCCTGGCTGAAATGCTGAGCGGGAAGCCCCTGTTCCCTGGAAAGGACTGTGAGTACCACAATACCGGCGCGGCAATTGACAGGCCATTCTGACAACAGATAGACCACCACCAGTTGACCCTTATCCTTGACGTCCTCGGAACGCCGACCATGGAAGACTACTATGGTATCAAGTCCCGACGGGCTCGCGAGTACATCCGATCTCTCCCATTTAAGAAGAAGATTCCCTTCCGCGCCATGTTCCCCAAGAGCAACGACCTCGCCCTGGATCTGCTGGAGAAGCTCCTCGCCTTCAACCCGGCCAAGCGAATCACAGTGGAGGAGGCGCTGCGCCATCCATACCTGGAGCCGTATCATGACCCGGAGGATGAGCCCACCGCACCGCCGATTCCAGAGGGATTCTTTGATTTCGATAAGAACAAGGATGCGTTGAGCAAGGAGCAGTTGAAGCGTAAGTTGAGAGATTTCGTCTTATGTGGAGCTTTACTAACTTAGTGCACAGTCCTGATATATGAGGAGATCATGCGGTAAAGAAATGACGAGCATATGAATGCGGCTAAGATACCATAGTACGGGGGAACTAAACAAGGCAGTGCCTGTTTGTTCAAGTTCAGTGGGGTTTCATTCGAGCACATAATAACATGGAAGGATAGAAAGAAAAGGATAGGGACAATGCTCGCGCGTTCCACCCTGAGTGATATGCTGCCATTATGGGAAGGGAATATGGATGGAGTTGATGTGATGATTCGGGCATTTAAGCTTGTTTGATATAATGCGAGCAGAGTAGCCTTGACAAGCAGACCAGTACATAAGATGAACTTTTTCAAGAACGTCTTTGGGTATATATGCGGTGCAGAATTGCCTGAGGCACTCCACTTACTTCCTAACTGTACATAAACAGTGACCTCAGCTTTCAGTTTTTGGACTAATTCTTCCCCGCCCTAAACTCCTCCATAAATTTCTGGATCCCCCTCCCGACCCCCTCGGGACTAGGCTTCTCCGCACAGACATCGGGTTCAAACCCGACCCGATTCCTGAGATAATCCCTGGTCGTCGGACCAATGGTCGCGACAAAGAACTTTCTGTTGTTATCCTTTCGACCTAAATCCCCATCCTCATTTTGTGATTCCAACCCACCGCCCAGAACCGCTGACGATGACGACGATGACGACGATGACGAAGAAGCATCCACCGTCTCCAGAACCCTGACCATAGCCTCACACCCCGTCGGCGAAAACACCACCGTCCAGACCACTTTCTCGTCGTCTTCGTCCTGCTGTTTGCGCTGGAACGCATCCCGCTCCGCGCGAATTCGCGCCCCAAACGCCTCCTCAAACCCGGCCATCACCCCGGTCTCGTAGACCACCAGCTCCTCCACGGGGATGCGGGCGTCGGGCCGCCGCGCCGGGTCCATCAAGGTCTTGGGGATGATGTCGCGGCGCTGTTCGCCGACGAGGAAGAGGAGGGGCTTTCTTGCGTGGTTTGGGGTCTGGGTCTGGGGATTTGGGGGGCTGGTGTTCGCATCTAGGTTGCCCGTGGTGTTGCCCGTGGTGTACGTCGGGTAGTGCGAGAGGATGAAGTGCGCGAGGAGCTCGCCGGTGCCCGTGTCCTGGCCGTGGAGGGTGGCGTTGGGGAGGTAGGTGGTTGTCAGGGCGGAGAGGGAGCGGTGGGTTGCGGGGCCGACGGTGTAGAGGGGGAGGGTGAGGGGGGTTAGACTTCGGCCTGGGTCTGTTACGAGTGGGTAGTGGTATGTTAGCGTTGAGTTGTGGATTGGGTTAGGTGTGGTGTGGTGTTTGGGGATAGGGAGGGAGGTGCAGGGCTGGGAAGGTAGGATGTAGAGGTAGGTGATGACGGTGACGGTGACGGTGGTGGTGGTGATGGGCCGGACATACCGTCGATGCCCTCGAGGACGTGGGCGAACCCCTCCACCGCCCGCTGGCTTGTGAAAATGATGCCGCCGTATTTCTGGTTCGGATGGCCCGCGCGAAAGCCCCCCGATACGAGCAGGTCGTGGATGCGTTGGAGGTTGGTCGTGTGGAAGTGGTGCTCCAGCACGGGGATGAAGGCGGGGCTGTAGTTTTGGCTCGTGAAGAAGTCGTCGTAGCCGTCGTGCGGGGTGGAGCGGGTTTTGAGGAGGAGGATCGGGGTGCGAGGGTCTTGCTCGGCCATTGTTCTTGGGTTTCTTGCTGGTCTGGTTTGTTCTTGGGTGGGTGAGGTGCAATTGGAGGGAATGGCAGGTGGGAGGAGTTTCTGGTGGATGGAGGAGTGCGGAGTGCGGAGCGGAGCGGAGCTGAGCTGAGCTTGCGCCCCGGCCGAGGTTCCCTAATCCTCATACTATTACTGGTACCACCAGTCTTTTATAGCAATGCATGTATAGTAGTGTTGGGTCTCGTGGATTCATAGGCGTTCATAACGAATATTGGATTAAGACACTTCTTAAAAGATACTTGAAGCAGCTACACAAGGAAATCAATGGGTCTAGCATGGTATGTACACTAAAGAAAAAGACTACTGGTCGTCGAGAACGTGCAGGTACTTCTTCTCCTCCTGTCTCTCCCGCTCCGTCGCGGGAGGAAGATCGTAGTAGGAGGAGCTACGGTATCCAAGCTGCGACAATTAGCCGGTGGTCCACACACCTCACGAAAGAACAAACTTACCAAGTAGTGGAAGGTCAGGTTGCTGATCTCAGCAGGCTCGATTCCAAGATCCTTGAAGGTCTTGGCGTTAGGGTCGATCACCTGGTCGATGAACTCGCGCTCAACCTCGTCGGCTGAGCCGATGGGCCACCAGAGATACTTGTTGAGGTAGTGGGCGAGGGGCTTCATGATGGCCTTGGGCACGTTCACGTGGCGGCGGTGCTTGACAATTTCCTTGTCCACCAGCTCCGCGATCTCGGCGGTCGAGTAGTTCTTGGGGCCGTAGAGCTCGAACGTCTGACCGACGGTGCTGTCATCGTGCAGCATAGCCTCGAGGGCAGCGCCGACATCAATGGCCTGTGCAAATTGTCAGCGCGACTCAAATCATGACTTGCTCAAAGCAACTTACGTGCACCGGCCAGTAGCGCTCCTGCATGTGGTTGGAAGTGAAGACGTTGGTCGCACGAGCGAGCTTGTGAAGGAGGTTGTCCTCGAAACCGAACATGGGCGCGGGGCGGACGATGGTGGTCTCAGGGTAGATAGAGCGAGCAATCTCCTCACCCCAGGCCTGCAGCAGTCAGCACCTATTCGTCAGCGGGACAAAAACCCAACAAACGAACCTTGGTAGCGAAGAACTCGGAGGGAGAGTCCCGGTTAGCGTTGTAGGAAGAGACGTGAATGAAGCGATCAACATCGTACTTGGCAACAGCCTCGACAATGCGCTCCGTTCCATCGACGTGAACGTCGTTGTAAGTGAAGTTCCTGTGTGGAGATTAGTATGGCGCATTCAAGATAGACTTATGATACTAACTTGGTAGGATATTGGCGACCAACAAGGTTGTAGACAACATCGGAATGGCGCACAGCCTCCTCAATGGACTGAGTGTTGCGCAAATCGTATTCCTGCCGGACCGCCGAGTTAGAGACTCGATTACCATGCTCGAAACGAAGGTGTCATACGATGAAAGTAATCCGACCGAGATCACCAGTGACCTTCAAGTGTCTCTTCGTCATCTCCTCACGGTAGGGGACAACAACGCTGCATCCCTGACGAGCTATCTCGGCGTCAGTCTCTAGCTCTTTCGAATCGACCATGGGCCCAACCTACCGAGCTTATTGACGATGTAACGACCGAGGAAACCAGTAGCACCGAAGACAGTGGCGGTGTGACCTAGATGATATGAGCTTTCTGGCGCCGACGCGAGCGGATAATGAAACGAGCAGAGGGCGAAGTACCTCCCAGAGACGACCTGCGGCAGGCAAAAGTTAGCATTATCCCACGACCATGACCCCGGTACATGCGCTCTTACCGTCCACCTTGAACCTTCAAGATCGGCTTTCCAGTCCGAGTAATGGCAACATCCTGGAGGTTGCGGCGCTGGACCTGGAACTGAACCCTAGGGGCGGGGACGAAGGCCCTCGAGGCCATGGCGGAATTGGCGGCCCGGCAGCTCTGCATGGTCTCAGTTCTGCTTGCGAATCTGATGAGACCACCGGTATGCGTCCGGATCGGTGGTTGGCGATGGACAATGGGGTGGTAGAGGGGAGAGAGCCAAGCTCGACGTCAGGACTTGTGCTCACAGCTGGTAGATGTTGAAAGTCGCTGTCCAGAATAACCTTGGAGCGGGCACGGGACTCTGGCGCTAGTCCCTTTTCGGCCCACTCCCTGGCCGATTTGCACCTTCTTCAATTGTCCGATCTCCCTCCGTGTTGCCTACAATGCTCTGGAAATGACTGTCAATATGTAGGATTGTGATCCTACAGTCGCCTTACTCGAGCACCTCGAATATTTATCCATTCGACCACCTGTCATGTTCAATCCTAACCCCGAACACTTGATCTCCTGCCGGATCGCGTCTGACTATTCGCGAAATATGATTGGTTGACTGACTTACAGCGTCATGGCGCATCTACTACGACGCAACTTAGACTACCTATTGGTCTGGTGTCGAAAAGAACGTACAGTACCCAAACTGGCGAAAGCAAAGCATGCATCATACTCGGTTCATTACTCTTTGGACAGCAACCATATCACTAACATTGTTCAGCAGCGCTGTCCCCGAGCAAGGAATAGGGCTTTTGGCAGCTTCTGATGAACCTTGAACGCCATCTTATGCTCCAACACCTCCCTTTGAAAACCCAGGCCTACTCCGGCTTCTTCAAAGAGCTGCTGGATGCGCTCTAGTGTGAAACCATGGCTGCCGATTGTGTGTTCGGCGTCGCCAAAGTCAAGCTTCCCATGAGCTGAATCATGCTGCTCGTCATGGTGGTGGTGGTGGTGACGGTGATGGTGATGGCCATGATGGTCGTGGTGGCCCTCTTCTGCCAGGATCTCTAGGACCAAAAGCACACCACCTTTCTTGAGGCGCTCACTCAACCGCGCCAAGGCCAGCTCGGGATTCTCAAAGTGGTGCAGCGCCATGCTGACCACCACAAGGTCGAAATTGGTGTATTCATCTGCGGACAGTTCCTCCGATACAGACTCGGCGAGAAGATCAGCTTTGACTCCAGTCATCTTGTCTGCTAGACCCGCTTCCTTCGCATTTTTGTTGAACTCGCTGATCATGCCATCTGAAACATCCATGCCGACGATCTTGCTTACGAAGGGAGCTAGAGTCTGTGGGTTGTCAGCTTCGTTTCTTTGATATAGCTGATGCCATAGGGTTGGAAAGTTACCATGGATATAGGACCCGGTCCGCAGGCATACTCGAGCATCTTGATCTCCTTACCCCGGCCAGACTCCGTGTCGGTCCAGGTATCACTGATCCACGCACGGCGGTTAAGGACCTCTGCGCAATTCTTCTTAATGAAATCCTTGAATTCGTCATTGTAGGTACTAGCCATCTTGCTATATATTGCATAAGTACCTTGCCTGTTCATCCCAGGAGCTTGTCACTTACTCGAAGTACTGGCGGTTTTTCTCGGTGAAGTCAGACATGATGATGGTATTGATTGGACAATGGTACAGAGGCAGAGGTATTAATAACTTGGGCCGATTGGAAGATAATAGGAATAAATAGATCAATTGATGGTTGCATAAGAGTCCTCTATGAATAGAACAATACGCCCCTATTTATACCTTTTTTTCTGAGCCAAAAAGCTTTGGGTACCCTAGTTGTAGATGGCCCAGAGGGCTGCTCGGAGAGATATCGGACACTTATTGCTACCATTCTGGGGTTGTAGTAGAGACTCAAGTCTGGATTGGTCCATCCGAGTAGTATTGTCAACATTAACCCATACCAAGAGATGCTATACAATTCAAGAGCCAAAGTATGTTCTGGGTACAAGGACGGATGGTAGTTTCGGAAAACATTCATGCTTGATGTTTGTTACTGGAATTGATGATGATGACGACGTAGATGGGGATCGATGTCATGTGCCTCACCGCCCGAGCATCAAGGCGGATGTTCACCTCAGCTCCGCTGCGCTGCCACCTTCAGATCAGCTTCCTTCTATCTTCCCCATCTCCGATTGACGTACCCCCACCTCTCACGACCCTTGATTCCTTCTTGATTCCTCTCTCCTACCCTTGTCCCACATCCCATCATCCCCCGGTTCCATCATGGAGAACCAAAGGATCACCGATTTCCTCGCCGACCAGCTCCAGCAAGCTCCCGAACAGAGCCAGGCCTTGTTCCTGACCTTCGAAGACTACTGGGAGCGCAAGCTATGGCACCAACTTACCGATTCCTTGATTGAATTCTTCCAGCTACCAGAGAGCGGCCCCCAGCGACTACCAATATTCAAGAACTTCGTCCTCAGCTTCGCCGACAGAATCAACCAGCTCAAGTTCGTCTCGCTGGGGTTGATGGCATCGACGGAGTGTGCAGGTCTGTTTCAACAGCGCCCCAGTAGCTTCCGACGAGCTCCAAACTGACCAAACCTGGGCGGATCGTACACAGATGACAAAGAACGCCTCTCTTTCCTCACATCGCTGGCCGACAAGGTCAACAAGCCCGATAGCCAAGATGCTTACATCTACGCCCTCGCCGACGTCGCCAACGTCAAGCAACGACTACAGGACCTGGACGGGGCACAGAAGGACCTGGAGGTCTGCCAAAAAGTGCTAGATACCTTCGACTCGGTTGAGACCGTTGTGCACGCTTCCTTCTACAAAGTCAACGCGGACTACTACCACGTAAGGGGACACCCTTCGCTATCTCCGCACCCTTTCCCCTCCCCCACTAACAAAGCTCCCAAAAACGACAGGCCAAACAAGAATTCGCCTCCTTCTACAAGAACGCCCTCCTCTACCTCGCGTGCATCAACCTGGAGGACCTCAGCGACGCGGAGCGGGTGTCGCGGGCCTACAACCTCAGCGTGGCGGCGCTGGTGTCGGAGACGATCTACAACTTCGGCGAGCTGCTGCTGCACCCGATCCTGGACTCGCTGAGCGCGACGCCGCACGGCTGGCTGCGCGACCTGCTGTTCGCCTTCAACCGGGGGGACCTGACCGCCTACGACGTGCTGGCCGGCAACGTCGCCAAGAACCAGCTGCTGGAGCAGCACCGCCTCTTCCTGTACCAGAAGATCTCGCTCTCCGCGCTGACGGAGATGGTCTTCCGCCGCCCGCCCCACGACCGCAACCTGACCTTCGCCGCCATCTCCGCCGAGACCAAGGTCAAGCCCCAGGAGATAGAGCACCTGATCATGAAGGCCCTCTCGCTGGGCCTGCTCAGGGGCGCCATCGACCAGGTCGCCCAGGTCGCCCAGATCCACTGGGTCCAGCCCAAGGTCCTGGACATGAAGCAGATCGAGGGCATGCGCAACCGCCTCAAGGACTGGGATGCCGGCGTCAACCAGCTGGGCCACTGGATCGAGGGGGTCGGCAAGGATGTGTGGGCGGCTTGATAAAATGAGATAATTTCCAAAGATTAGAACCAGATACCTTAACAACTTCAGTACCGTCACAACAACAGCCATGCTATGTCCCACCACCTGTTTCTCATGCCTCCCTAATCATTTACTCTTCCAACCCCTCATAACGTGAGAACAGTAACTCATCTGCAGTTCATGTACGAAGTACTAGACCTTTTCCATATGTCACTTACCATATCTCAAAGCGTATGGAATGGCACCTCCCCACTTGAATCCGACACCATAACAGATATCCAGGAAAAATCCGAACCACATAGAAGTACGACGAGGGAATTCCATAGTAGCCCTAAAAAGATTTATACTATACTATACAAAGCGTTCAAGCAGACGAGCAAGTAAAGCAAAGCCATCTGTATAATGCTCTACCTAACCTTCAGACACAAGAAGCTCTAGAATAGGGAGAACCCCAACAAAGCACACCCAGTCACCCAGGCGGGCCACCAGACACACCAGACCACCACCTGGGTCCACATGCCCCAGACGTCCCACCCGAAGGCCGCCTGCGTGAGGACCGTCTCCACGTCGACCCCGACATACCGGCACGCCACGAGAAGGACGACGGGCGGGGACAGCACGTTCAAGAGGACGAGGCCGGCGACGGCGAGCACGGCCCGCAGGGGGCGGGAGGCGGTGCGCGGGTCGATGCGGTTGACGAAGCTGAGCGGGGTGCAGAGGAGACCCATCATGAAGGACAGGGAGAAGTTGAGGGTGGCGAGCGTGGAGAGGAAGAGGCCGAGGACGAGGAGCGAGAACGATTTGATGAGCAGGGATTGTTGCGACTGTTCCCGCAGGGTGGTCGTCAGGCCGCGGGTGAGGGAGGCTGCGAGTGCGATGGGCAGGATGGCGTTGATGGCGATGCTGGCGTAGGTTGCGGTTGGGTAGTACTTGTGGTTTGAGGTTAGCATGTGAGGTCTTTCTGGTCAGAGAAAGGGTAAGGACGGGCACGAACCTGGTGGTGGATATTGTTGAAAATGTAGAGAGGGATGAGACCGAGGAGGTGGAGGCCGACGACAAGGGTGAGCGGCAGGGCAAGTTGTCGCTCGATGATGCTGTTAGAGTCGTTTTTGACGGCTGGTTGCTGCGCGGTGTTCGCACCGGACTTCTCCGTCGAAACAGCCACTTGCTTATTCGTCTCTCCTGCGCTTACTGCTGGAGGCTTGACGGCAGTTTGCTCCGAGCCGAAATAATATCCCGTCCGCAGCCAGAGTGCGATGGCCATAATGGTGAAGTTTCCGGCGATCAGCATGGCACTGGGTAGATAGGTACCGATGCTGACGAAGCGGTTGGTCTGCATGAGCAGATAGAAGAAGAAGCTCTGATGGAGATGCTCCAGGAGATTGTTCAAACTGCGACAGAGACCCTCGATGGTACGGCCCAATGCCATCTCATCCTGCCAACCGTCGCCCTTGGGCTGCAGCGTGATGGCGTCGATATGGTATGGCATGAAACTGCTATGCGCACCCGTCGCGTAGCCGAAGCCCTGCTTGACCATGCCTCGCAGAATCGTCTGCAGCCGCATCTCATAGCTGTCATTGTGGTCCCACATTTCTTGCAAATTGGAACCAATACCCATTTGGCCACCAGCAATCGATACAGCCGTGTTGAACAGGTCCAGATTGGGCAGCTGGCCGTTGACACCATCGTAAAGAATATGAAGTGATTCAAATCGATGATCGAAGGGATACTCAATGACCAAGCCTCCCTGCAACGCGCCGCTCTTCAATGGCAGCGGCTGCACAAATGCCGGTTGCATATCATGGTAGGCGTCAATCCACGCCTGGGTGCCCGATTTACTATCCGGTGGGAACACGAAGATGATATCCTTCGACCATAAGGACCAACCTGTAAGGCGTAAACCCGGTCAGCAAAAATGGAAACGTCTTCTGCTGCTGCTGCTCCGCTGGACGAAGCCGGAAAATCAATCACGCACGTTTAAAGTATCCCGCCAGCGTCAGCGCAAGGCTTACACCATTCAGATTCAGTTCGTCATCGGCAGTTCTCCAGGCCGCGACAAGCACAATGGCTTCAGTAGCGTCACCCCGCGGTGCTTGGATAATCGCGTAGACATTCTGCCCCTGATGAGTGATCCCCGATGAGGTGTACTCGTACTTCTGCGTCGCGACTTTGAGTCCTGCAGCTCGCAAGATCGACTGGACCTTATCGGAAACACTGAGTTCGAATTGAAAACCTCCATCAGTAAGACATGGCCTTTCTCAACGGAGCGGAAAGGGTTATTGGGCAGAGAAAGTGAACATACGCCGGGGTAAATTCGTCGTTTCTGCTGTCTTGCTCACTTAGCGTCTGGCGCTCCAGGATCGCCTCTAGCTCCTTCTTGTATCCCCGGAAGATGTGCTGTTCACTGCCGGAGAAATATGCGTGGACCTGACCGGGCAAGAGCGCGTTTTCGGAGATGTACGTTTGGCGGGAGTAATCGTTGAGGGGAAGGAGGAGCAGCCAGACGACGCCTGCAACGATGCAGAGGAAGGAGAGAATATGCGGCAGGTGGACGAAGAGGAAATGGGGATTGCTCCGCAGTTTGCGGATTGCGGCTGCCATGGTTCTTGTGTCAGCATGAGTTTGAATCGATCCGAGGTGTTGATTCGCCCGCGGTGGGCAATCCGGGGTAAACAAGGTGGTGATGGTAGCAATCGGGGATAAGCAGGGCCGATAGAGAATGGCAAGAAGCACGCAGAAACTCTTCTCACTAGTGCCCGTGGTATTGAGCCATACTCACATTTTAGAGCCATGGAGGTTGCGACATCTAGGGACTCCGTCCCATGGAAGAGTTGTTGATGCTACAGCTGAACGGGTACGGAGCCATCAATCGGCGGCGATTTGGCCAGAGCAGCCCGCGGATTTACGTCAGCCGCTAAGTTAACTATTGTTGATATGATTGACACCAAGCAATGCAATCAC